TCTCTCTCCTCCTCTCTCTCTCTCTCTCTCTCTCTCTCTCTTGTTTATCTTTCCTCTCCTTCTTCCTCCCTCTTTCACCCCGTTCTTCAGCTCGTTGGTTACGGCTGTTCGTTGAGGGATCTTGTGTTGGTACTCTGGTACAGATACACCGCGTCCGAAGGCTTGCAGTCACGATATTGATTCGTTCATTGAGTCGATATCTTAACATTTTGGTCTATCTTCCAAGCTTACAGACGAGACTTCAATCTGTCTCTCAAGACGTATCACAGGGAACGTGATCCATCTTATAAAACTCACAACCAAGACCGCAATCACTCTGTTGAAAAAAAAGTCACGTCTCAGAAACACAAGTAAGCCGACACCTCTCACTGGCTTTATCTTCTCAATTCAACAGTTCAACACCATAACTAATCCACAAAGCAGGATGACTACACCACAGCAGCCAGCCCAGCTCCCTCAGGGCAACCCAAGCCCCCGTCACTCTTCACTCCGTCCCCGACCCCTCGCTTCTCGGCGCGATGCGAGCCAGCAGGCCAACCCTGACCATACACCGTAAGTGACCCATTGAATTCTTTGGTATCTGAACTCTCTCTGATACGTGACGCGCTCCAGTGCTCCGAAGAGAGCCCGTCCTAACACTCCGGCCAACGCGAGCGGTGCAGCGTCCAGCGGCCGCGCGAACATGAGCGGTCAGCGTGTTGCTAATACTGGGGCTGGTGCTAACAGCCAGGTGGGCGGCGGTAGACAGCAGGCTGGTGTTAATCAGGCCCGGGTTAGTCCGGCTGGTGTTAGTCAAGCTGGTGTTAGTCAAGCTGGTGTTAGTCAAGCTGGTGTTAATCCGGCCGGTGTTAATCAGGCCGGCGCCAACCAGGCCAGTACCAACCAGGCGAGTGGCAATCATGCGAATGCCCACCAGGCAAATGCCAGCCATGCCAGTAACAGCCAGGCGAATGTCAACCAGGCGAATGGCAACCCAGCGAGTGCCGCCCAGCCAGGTATCAACCAGGCCGGTGGATTTGGAGCCAACCAAGGGAATCCACTCCCCCCCAATTTCTATCATTTGTTCCCGTCCTTCGCCGAGCAATACAACCGTTGCAACATCGCGATCTTCCACGTTGGCCCGACCCCTGTAATCTTCCACGTGGACGTCGACACCCTCCTCGTCCGCAGTCCCAACTTCCATAGATTCTGCATGGTCGAGTGCGCCGAGCGCGGCGAGCAGCACAAGCCCCCCATCATTCGCCTCCCCGACCTCTGCCCCACCACCTTCACTTCCTTCCTCAAATGGATGGGCAACGGCGATCCTTTCGGCGGTCGCTCCCTGCCCAAACTCACGCCCTTCTTTAGCCTCTGGCGCTTCTCCGAGAGGTTCCAGTGCTTCCTGCTGCAGTCCGACCTGTTGGCGTACCTGCAGCGCTGGCTGGGGAGCCACCGCGGCCTCTTCGGGGTCTCCGTCATCAGGCTCGTCTACACCATGTTTGACCGGGATTCGCACATGCGCAAGATGGTGGCCGAGGTCAATGCCTGGCGCTCGGGGCTGGCGGACCTCCAGAACACCAAGGCTGACGTCCCGCGCGAGTACATCGAGGATCTGGCCGAGGCGCTCTTGGCTGTCCGCAGAACTGATCCGCTCACTGGACTGCCCGGGGACTTCGTTGCGCGCTACATGCCAATGGAGGAGGAGAAAGTGCCGGGCTCGGATTTGGAGTAGGGTGTCCAAGTTACGAGTCCGGTGGGTTCCTCTGCCGTCGGTTGTTGCTGCTGTTGCTGATGAGGTTGGTGGTGGGTTCGGTTTGCTTGCTTCGAGATGGAACTCTTCGCGGCGGTAAGCTTGAGTGGATAGCTTATGCGTTGAACCTCAATCCCCCAGATTGTTTTTTTTTTCTACATTGCTGTTGTGTGATTTCGTGAAGTTGCCTTGTTATTCGGGATATGGATGAAAACTGGAATGTCTCTCCAAATATCTTAAAATTTGTGTTGACTCGGGAGATTGACTTTTCTGTACTCAGCTTGTGACATTAGGAGTCTAAATTGAACTGATACCGGCCTTAGTACTGCATAGTCAAACGTAGAGCAGATATATGTCATGGAGTCAAGTGGTCAGGAAGATCCATATTCACTTACACTTCCCATAGGGGAAGATGCACTGCCCCTGACAGCTGACTCAGGGTCTGCATCCACTAGCCCGAATAGGCCAAGTGCCCATGTCTGATAAGAAGATCAAGCCGATTGATAACTTTCTCCTTCTCCTCCTCTTCTGCAACCCCCTTGACCAGAACCACAACCACTAAGAAAATGGAGGAAACGCATCGACACGGCGCCTCGGTGCCCCTCACTCATCTCCCTCCTCACTCCCACATCTCTCACGATACCTCAATCGCTTACAATGCCGCCACGACCACCGCCCTGGAGCCATCCGCGCCGCACCGCCGCATCAGCATCGGCAGCGACGAGGAAAGCCAGCCGCCCCCGCGCTACACGCTAGAGAACGACCCGTTCCAACTGGCCTCCAAACTGAAAACCCCGGAGGAGATCGAACAGATCCAACCGCAAGCCAACACGGCCCGCAAGCGCGATTCCGTCCAGCAGCGGACCTCCTGCCTCCCCTCGGCCAGCCTTGGCGGCGGCGGCGTCCAGCGCGCGCTGGCCTCCCGCCAACTGCAGGGGTTCTACCAGACGCAGAACGAGAACATCGAGCGCATGCTCAAGCCGGTGGAAGAGCACGTGCGGGACGCGCGCGAGACGAACAGCGGCAACCAGCTGAAATACAAGATCGCGGTGTACGGCAGCTTCGCGGCGAACGTGATCCTGTGCGTGCTGCAGCTGTACGGGGCGATCTCGTCGGCGTCGCTCTCGCTGTTCACGACGATGGCGGACGCGATCTTCGACCCGATGTCCAACCTGACTCTGCTGCTGTCGAACAAGGCCGTCAACCGCGTCGACGCCCGCAAGTTCCCCGCCGGCAAGGCCCGCATCGAGACCGCCGGCAACATCTGCTTCTGCTTCCTCATGTCGGCCGTCTCGTTCATCCTCATCGCCTTCTCCGTGCGTGAGCTCGCCGAGGGCTCCGAGAGCGAGACCGGCTCCTTCCACTTGCCGTCCGTCGTCGCCGTTATCGTCGCCTTCTGCACCAAGTTCGCCCTCTTCCTGTACTGCTTCGCCCTCAAGGACCAGTACTCGCAGGTCCGCATCCTGTGGGAGGACCACCGCAACGACCTGTTTATCAACGGGTTCGGTATTCTGACTTCCGTCGGCGGCAGTAAGCTGCGCTGGTGGATCGATCCCGCCGGCGCAATCCTGCTGTCCGTGCTCGTGGCGGCGCTGTGGCTGCATACCGCCTACCATGAGTTCCAGCTCCTGATCGGCGTCACGGCCGATACCAAGATGCAGCAGCTGATCACTTATATCTGTGGGTTCCCCTGTCTTCCCCTTGGCCCTGGTTTCGTGTCTATCAGGTACTTCTGTTATGCTGTGATCATTCGCTAATCATGGGTTCTTGGGGCAAAAAGCAATGACCCACTCCCCCCTCATCACCGCCATCGACACCGTCCGCGCCTACACCTCCGGCCCCCGCCTGGTCGTCGAGGTCGACATCGTCATGGACCCCGACGACTCCCTGCGCGCCACCCACGACGTCGCCGAGGAGCTGCAGACCAAACTCGAGTCCCTGCCAGACGTCGAGCGCGCGTACGTCCACGTGGACTACGAGACCACGCACAAGCCGGAGCATTTCTTGAAGAAGGAGCTTTAGGCTTGGTACCGTTACAGCGGTAATCGGAATTGAATATACGCGTTTGACGAAGCACGTCTCGTTGATAGGGTAGGAGGATCGGTGCATTGGTTCGATGCTACACCGGGTGTCGCCGGTGGTATCCTGTATATGTGGTGTCTGTTTACATCTCTCTCATAAAAATAGCTTAACATAGAATTTGATCTAAATCCGAACTCGACTTATTCATTCAGCAAGGAGCGTCATCTTATAGCCCAGGACAAAAGAATCGCCAAAAACACTCCATGATTCCCTTGAAAAACAAATTCCCAAAAACATGAAAGCCACTTTTAAGTAAGGCACAACCCGGAAAACTCCCATCATACATACACAATTGTCGTTCATGATCATGTCTCATCATCATCATCATCATCATCATTATCATCATCATAAAAGCCAAGCCAACCCACCAACCAGATCAGCTCCTCCGGGCGGTGCCCCGCGTGGAGATGGGCAACAGACTCCCCGCGAAGTCCGTATCGAGACTCTTCCGTATCGACCGGTGCCCACTCACAATCTTCTCGAACTCGTACCCCGTGGTGCGGATCCCATCTTGTTCGTCTCTCATGAATTTCCCTGGCACGGCTGGAACACCACCACCGCCGCCGCCGCCGCCGCCGCCACCGCGCAAACGGGTCCTCTTCCTCCCGCGTTGCAGTGCCATCCACCGCCGCGACCGCCGGATCCCCTCCTGACACGCGTCGCCGATATCATCCAGCAAGAGCGCCAGGATGATCAGGGGAATGGAGATGGCGAAGCCGATGCCGAAGGTATACTTGGCCACGTACGAGAGATGCAGCTGGCCGGTGCTGCCGCCGCCGCCGCCAGTGCCGGACGCTCCGCCGAATTCGGCCAGGTTGATGGTGAAGATGGAGGTGATGAAGGACAAGGGCAGGAAGACGATGGTGACGATGGTGAAGACCATCATGATCTTGCCCTGGCGGGTGGTGCCGGCGGCCTGGTCGCGGGCGAAGCGGGCCTCGAAGGCGTTGGCGTGTTTCTGCTTGAGGTCGAGCAGGTCCGTGATGGAGGAGTAGATGCGCTCGGCCTGTTTGTCCATGCGGTCGATGTCCTTCAGGTGCATGTCGATCGTGCGCTGCTGCTCCTTGAACCGCTTCTTGGTCTCGGACTGCGACCGGTGCTGGCCCGAGTAGATCTCGCAGATCGCCTCCTGGAAGTCCAGCAGCACGTGCTGCTGGTGCTGCAGCACCGTGCGGATCATGTTGAGCTCGTCGCGGATGTCCTTGGCCTCGGAGAGGAGATCCGTCTCCTGGCCGATGTCCAGGAGGTTGTCCACGAACAGGGGCTGTTCGTCTTCTTCGTGCTCGTCTTCCGTCTGGGTCTCGCAGTACTCATCGCGTGCGGCATCGCTGGGGTTGTTACCGCGGCGCTCTCCAGCGGTAGCCGCGTCACGATCCTTGCTGGGCGGCGGCGGCGGCGGCCGAGCAAACCGGCTGAGCTTGCGGTGGTTCTTGAGCCAGTCGGACGCCTGTGCGGAGTCCCGGTTGAACTGGTTGAAGAGGACCGTCTCGCGGTCGGTGGCAACACCGATTGACGCCTCGAACATGTCCAAAAACTGGTACTCTTCGTCGCCCATGCGATGCCGGTCAAACACCCCCGAGCAGCGGGTGGTGATGATGATGGCCAGATCGTAGACGGACTTGACGGGCTCCCTGGTCTTGGAGTTGATGTCTTCGATGATCCCGTCGAGGACGTTGAGCGGGTCGTTCTTGGGCTGCTCCCACCGTTCGGGGAAGCTGGTCACGATCAACCCGGTTCCAAGGATCCACATCCAAAGTTGATCGACCATGAAGATCTTGGGTTCCGACAGGAACCGCTCGCGGCCCTGGCCTTTGGTCTGGTACCGGTAGACGACCTGGTCTTGGTCTCGTGTCAGCGTGTCGATGTTGGGGTAGAAGAACTGATCCAGCGTGCGTCGGATGTGAAGCGACGTGGTCGATGATGCTAAATGCGCGCTGATCAAGAGCTCATCCCGCGTAGGTGTCCGGGTGAGGCTGGGCCGCGCAAGACACCGCGTCTCAGCTCGCTGGATGGCATCTTGCATCTTCTGGCGTCTCTCGGTCGTTTCGAAATGGAGATACGGCATGAACATGCACACATTGCACGCGTTGGAGCGTGCTGAGTCTTTGCACAGAGAAAGAACAGGCCGATTCTTGTCGTTTCGATCGAAGCCGTGGTTGTGTTTAGACTCATGCTTATACTGTGCTCCCCCGGCCTTGCCACGCTTGGTCGCACTCTTCCCCTTCTTCACCGGGTTGTCAGAAATCGAGTCGGTAGGTTCAGTCTTGCTTCCGTGCTCTCTCAATTTCCGGCCTCTAGGCATGTTACCTTCTTTCGGAGTGCTCGGAGCCTCATGCGTCTGTCCGTTGATGAGAATCTGAGGGGCCAGTTCAACCGTCTTCTCCTCGGAACTGTCGTCCTCCTGAAACCGTGGTGCACGAGGAGTGCTCTGGCACAGAGGACGCATAAAGTTCGAGTGTGTCCGTTGCCCTCGATGTTGGTAGCGGAAGGATTTCTCCAGCCCCTTGAAGCTCTCCACATCGTGCGCCCCTTCTTCAATGAATGACTTGGTAAGAAGAGCCTCAACCCATGTCAAATTATTCGCCGGAAGATGAATCCAACGAAAGTCAGTCGCCCGACTATCCGCCGGTAGGGTGCTAAATGCCTGTTTGCGTGGGTTCTCGGGATCGCGACCGTAGAGAAGATTGAAGACCGACGTCTTCTTGACCCGATTTTCGTTGTGGAAGTTACCGAAATCGACCACGGTAGCCTCGAATGCTTCACATGCGCCTTTCGCCTCCGCAGACAGAGCCTCGACGGTGTTGAACGGGGCAAGGAGAGATACTATGTCTCTCCGCTTGAACTGGGCTGCCCGCAGGAATGGTGTGCTGCCGAAGTTGTCCCGAATTCTCTGTTTTAACCCCTTCTGCTCCAGCAGGCACTCTACTACCTCGCGGTGGCCAGCTTGTGCAGCCAGGTGCAGGGGCGTCACCCCGTTGAGCAGTTGGCTATTGATGTTGGCTCCAGCGCGAAGAAGGATACGCACAATCAGCTCAGAGCCTCTGTCGCACGCATTATGCAGCGGGGTCCAGCCACCGTCACTTCGCGCATTCACATCCGCATTGTATGCCAGCAAGAGCTGGACAATGTCATCACGACCATGAGCGACCGCAATATGGAGCGCGGTCTTGTTCCGACACTCGACAGCATTTACGTCTGCGACCGGCCCATGCGGTCGGGTCAGAAGAAGCTGCGCGAAGCGTAATTTCCCCGTGGCGCACGCCCAATGCAGAGGCGTGCGGCCGAGTTCATCCTGGCCAGCCAGGCCGTCGAGTGTACAGGTTGTGCTGAGGAGGAGCTCAATGACATCCTCTCCCCAGTCGCACTGCTTGTCCGCCGCCAGATTATGCAGGACGTTCCTTTTCTTATGATCCCGAGCGTTGACATCAGCGCCGCGGGCAATCAGCAGCTGCAGAGCATGCCAATGGTTCTTCCAGGCGGCCGTCATCAGGACGGTCCGGCCCTTTTTGTCCGGGGTTTCCGTCGATGCGCCATGGTCGAGGAGGAGCTGCACGATGCGAACGTGATTCCGCTCCACGGCGCGCAATAGCGGTGAGGGCCGATTACTGGCAACGTCCGTCTTCGCACCGATCTGAAGGAGATATTCGGTCGCAGCGATGGACCCGCGCTCGCAGCTGCGCATGAGCCCGATGCGCAGAAAGGTATCGTTGAGTTGTCCATTTTCGCGAGCCAATTCAACGATGGCCTGCAGGGTGGCGAACTGGTCGCTCTCGACCGCTCTCAGCAAGCGCGGCTCCAAACGGTCATGGCTGTCACTCGCGATACTAGATCGTGACCTAGACATGGTTCTTGTCTGTGCTGAACGCTGATTCAGGAACGGAGACTGCAGTCCCACCACATATTCCTGGGAATTTTAGGTTTCCAGGAAAACTTGGGGCTGACAAGAAAAATAAGAGCTGAAGGGCAGAGCCGCGCCAGTCAGCCGGGACGAAATAGTGTCGACTGATGGGTGCGCCACGCCAAACGATCACTGGCTAGAGGCATAAGCAATACGAATTTAGCTGCAGGTCGGGAGTCTGCTCGCGGTATTCTCCACTGCGGCTGGGGATTGGTCTACTACTGAGCAGAATTCAGGGTTCACGTCCAGCCCCCCGGCTAGTGCATGTAGACTAAGTTAGTCACTTTTGCAAGATCTCTTAGTCGGCAAATAATCGTTCGAGCAACTGATAGTGAGTTCGAGACAGGATGATCAGAGGTTCAAGGAGGACCGAGTCCAAGGCTCTCATTTTTTATCCAGGTCGCAGGCACAGTTCATTGAGCATCCAGCGTGTGAGTATCGTCTTGCTTGACATGGCTTTACTCATCGATGCGGGCAGCTATCGCTAGGACTGAAAAGCTTAATTGGAAACCTGGAGTTCAAGGTTAAATCAAATGATAGCCGACCAAGATCATATTAGCTAGTCGTGGGTTCGAATGAGGTGAAGTATGAATCGGGTACGTACCTGAAGGTTATTGCGCGGGACAGGACTCCGACCAGCTAGTGCGCACTATCTGCTGAATAAGCGAGCACAGTAAGTTACAACCGTGTCAATGTCGCTCGCTCTCTGGTCGGTAGATCCACAAGAGCCTGAATACCCAAGTCTCTCGCGATTCAAGTTTGCGACTCTTTGCAGGGGTACCGCAGAGAGAAGTTGAGCTAAAAGGTACAGAGAGTTTCGTGTTGCGTGTAACGGACAAAGACGAACACCCCATTTAAAGGATAGTTGCCTGCTGGTCGTCTCTGTCTCTTCCAGGACCTTGATCATCTGCACTACCAACATCATGCCAGTGGAGATACACCCAACCCTATTGGCAGGATGGAATCTGCTTCCAGGTTCCGTGCCTGCTAGACTACTAGGTAGGCAAATTTGGTGGAGGGTTGTGCATCACCCCACCTGTGCCTGTCCCGGTCTAGATAATGTCACGTTGCTGGCCATTGTGGACCAACTTGACTTGTCCATGCGGTGGTAGTTCTTTTGTGGGAACAATTGTAAGGGATTGGCAGGGTGATCCTTAGGATTGGGTGATTGATGACAATGAATGTAGCACACGCTGTCGAGATGACCGATGCTAATAGTAGGTTGACCAAGTTGTCCTGCGTGATATGTGGTGGTAGGATGATCGGATTATGAGAAATATATTCTTTGCGGAAATCTCCCCCTTCCCGGCGCAAGTGTCCTCTAAATCCTCAACCACCACCTCAACCTGATAGATAGGAAGCTTGAGTGAAAGACAATGATAGGTAAATTGTCATACTAATCGATTCTCCATGCTAATAGTGCCGTTATTAACAGTATAGGTTAGGGCCGGTGATTCCGTATTACCAGGATTGCTGTCAAAAGGCTAGCTACACACACACAATGAATTACCATGATCTGATCATCTTCATAGAAGGGTGCATTACATTAAGACTAGTCCTTTCTCAAGGACCTGTTATCTCTATCAATGATGCGTCGGAAAAGTGTAAATTACATCAAATCAGGCTGTCTGACACGGCCAGTCATGGAGTAACGACATTCGCAGGAGTCCAACCCCCCTCGAAGAAAAACTGACAAGAGAAGTATAGTAGAGAGTGGAAGGTGACTAGAAGGGATAAGGGGAAATGCTCAGGGAAAGTCGGATTGGACACAGTAAAAGAAGAGAGGAAGACAAAAGGACGAGATTCCAAGAGGCAAGATTCATGACTCCAATGCCACTGACCAAACGCATGCTCTGCTCCAATCCACACAAAAAGAGATAAAGGAAATATTAAAACAATCTTCTGGTTCTTGACTGTCGCTACCCGACCCGAGAAAACTTCAGATAGATGCTCGTTTACGCCGTTCCAGCCTTTTGGTTCAAGATAACGTATCACGCCCAGTATGAGAGGTAAAAGAAAATGGACAGAAGGACAATAGGAGGGAACTGAATATGACAGAATACAAGAGAGCTGAAACGACCAGGGTTAGTAATGCAAGGAATTGAAGGGAAAGGGTTGGAACACCGAGGGGAGGAGGAGAATGTCCCTAAAGGGACCTTCTCAAGCTCCAGTCTTCTCTCCAACATTATACACATCTAAAAAGAAAACCTTGAATTCTTCTATCGCGTTCTTTTGCCCAAGGCTTATTTCTTCTTTTGCTGATTCGGGACCTGCTTCAGAATGTCGTCGAAGCTCATGTTGGGGTTGAATCGACTAGCGGGTCGAGCCGGGGGATCCAGCGGGGCTACACCCGCAGGGAGTGGCAATGCCTCTAGACCCGGATAAATTGAAGTGCGGTGTTCTGCTCTCCGGTTCAAGACTGGCGAGTTGAGCCGAGGAATTGCAGGTGGAGGAGGACCAAGACTGCCGGGGGTCATGAGGGGAGTTGGCTGCCCGCCCGAGAGCTGCTGTTGCTCAGACGATGAGCCTGCCGACGATTGCTGGGCTTGGTACGGTGAAGACAACGAGGACTCGTTGTCATATGGGTCCTCGATCGTCGGAGGCGCTAGAATAGCATCCTTCTCCGCCCATTGCTCCGCCACCTGCCAGCAGTGACTGCGGCGGTAAATGCCTTCCACACCGTTGACAACCACATCGGAGGGCAAGCTAACCACACCAGCGCCATTGGCCACGCCAAACCAACTGCGTGCAGTCTTACCGTCGTTCTGTATCCAGGGTGCACCACCGCGGGGCGCAATGCAAAGGAAGTACTCGACAGCATCCGTGTATCGGACATCTTGCACATCAACCACCACCAAAGGCAAGGATTGAATGACACAGTACAAGAAAATCCACTGACCGCAACGCATGTCAATCATGTCATTAATGTTCTTGCCATGCGCCGAGCGGCGCTCAAATTGCATGAACGATTCGATGAAAGGGGTGGGCCGCAGACTCTCGCGAGTGTAAGAGCCCATCAGAACAGCATTGATGTCCGCATCCTTCAATTTCTTCGCTCGCTTCTTGGCTTCCTTCTTTGCGTCCATGGGTTTCCGCTCGAGCGTCTGCAGCGAGGGAAACTGTGGAATATCGAACGGAATAGGTGGCTGAACTGGAGGAGTGCTTCGATCATACTCGCTCAGAATCTGTCGGAGAGCCCGAACCATTAATTCATCAGGGTCGGAGGTCTCTGATGTTTCCGCTGCCATGTCCACCGTGCGGGTGGTGAGGGCGGCCCGGTCGACCATCATATCGTAAAGGTTGGCGAAATCATTGTAGAGATCCTTCACAACCTGGCGATTGAGCCCACTTTCCTCGAACTGATTCTTCTTCGAGCGAGCCTTGGGAGGCCAGGATCCGTACTTCTGGCGATAGTACTGCATCGTGAAGCGTCGAAAATCCATGAACGCCATTTTCCAGTTCTTGAACCGCACTACCTTACTCTCAACCGACGTAGCCGAATTGGCGATACCAGAGAAGACGGAAGGGAAGTCAAAATCATCCAGCTTACTGTACAGTACCCGGAGACGGGTGTCTAGGTCGATGAAACCTCGCTCTAAGCGTTTCTGGGTGACGGGGTTGATAAGTCCGTACTTGGGACTTCTCAGTTGCTTCAGTTCGTCCAGCTTGCCAACCCCGTGCACGAACCCCTCGAGGTAGAGAGGGTAAAAACGCAACCGTTCACCCAGAACGATGGCTTCAATGGTTTTCTCGCGGCTCTTGCGCACATCTGCCAGTCGCAGTTCCTCACAGTAGTTGCCGAAGCTGGTCGTTGCAGTCTCGCCAAAATTGGAGCCATCGAAGTTGGTGAATTCAAATCGAGAGAGTAGCGTTGCAACGTCCATAAAGATGGAAAAGAGGGATGGAGATCGAGGCGTTGCAATCAAGGACTGTCCCAGCAGGAAAGCAAAAAGGTTACGGAACAAAAGAAGGTTTTCCAAATCCTCCCCTGTGAGTCGAGTAGTCGGGTTGGAAACGTCGCTATTCAGGGGAATGGGGAGGTAGAGATGAAGCTCCTGGAACTCTTCGGGACTCTCATCGTCCATGTAGGCCAGCCGTTGGCTACCAGAGCTGTCATTGTCATTGTCGGCCAAGCGATCTTCAGGTGTCAAAGGCGGTGACGCGGGGCCGGCCACGGGGCTATTCAAAGACAGATTGCCTGTTTGTTGCTCAAGGGAGGTGGGACTGCGAAGCTCGTTTCCACGAGCAAGGAAATGGAGGGAGGGAGATTCCGCAAAGACCGTCGAATGGACCTTAAACGAGGCCTGTCGGCCGGTATTCTGGGGAAACAGATATACGTAGGTGTCGCCATTTTCGTTCCACAGCTCGGGGATCTAGCGTGTTTCCAACGTTGGTTTTAGTAAACGCTAACGAGCGGGCTAGCCATGCACGAGCGAGTCCCGCGTTGTGGGCCCATCGGTACACACATACCTGTTCTCCTCGAGACAGAGGTTCCAAATCATACAAAATTTTCTGCTCTAGCCCAGCAATCCAAGCACTGGGCATGGCTGAGGCGCTGGCGCGCGGATCAGCTGAGCTTGCACGAGCCCGCCCGGGCATCCAGCTACGCCGTTTAGAAGATGGGGTGCTCGGGCGCGAATCCGGACCGGCGCCTGGCACAAACAATCCCGCAGAGCTGGACGGTCGACTCCCACTACGCCCGCGACCGCTACTCTGGGGTCTGTCGGAGGAGCCGGGAGTGCTGGTGGCCAGATCCTGGTTGACGGACAGTAGGGATGGAGGCGGCGGCAAGGGTTCGTCCAAATCAAAACCATCGTGGGGACCGGGGGGGAGAGGCTGGCGGGTCTCGCCGTAGTCGCTTTGAGGATTAGAGGCTACACGAGCTGATCGGGAGGCGCTGCGAGGACGTGCATCCTGCGGTAACTGGTCGGGGGACGCTTTCGGGATACTCGGAGACGCAGGCGAGGAAGGTGCCGAACTATCCCTGGTCGAACCCAAGGAAAACAGCGACGATATGCGCTTGGCCGATTTTACCGGAGCAGACAGCATGTTCGGAGTCGCTGCGTAAAAAAAAGAGAAGCAACTGTCAGCCCCGGAGAACGAGAGAAAAGGCGTAGCGATGGTCGAACGGGTGAGTGGGGAAGGGAAAAGACATGAATAGCGAGAATGGAGAATGAGAATGAAGAGGGAGGGGAGTGAGGAAGTGTGAGAGTAAGATTTGGGGGGAACCAGAGGGTGCAAGTGAGTGACAGGAAACTTCTCCCCTCCACCGACGGAGGAGACCACGGATTCGCAAAAGGCAGGCAGGAACCGGCGTACCTTAACCAGTTTAACCAGTGAAGTAAGAAAGAATGTAACCAACCATGCGCAAACTCTCCCAGGCGGTCCAGGGACAAGTTTAGTCAAGGAATTCGAGAGGGTTTGGCGAAGAAAGGGCAGGCAATTCGTGCGAACTGCTTCGACGTGCCCTGAGGAATGGATCGACAGGAGGGATCCAGTAGAGGAGGAATGGATGCAGCTTGAGGGAGAGGAGGAGAAGGAGATTGTCAAAAAGAAGGTTTGGTACGTGGTACAGAAGAAAAGAGAAAGAGAGGGAGGGGGTAATATGTGTCAGTGAGTGAGAGTATATTAGGAAGATGAGAAGGAGAAGGAGGAGAGGATGGAGGCGGGGAGACGGAGGGTTGAGATAGATGATGAGGATGGATTATAGGGGATGTTGTATAGACGAACGCATTCACGGACACACACACATACAGTCTCTCTTTCACTCCTCTTCTGTAAGCTTTGGGGGAAGAAAGAGAAGAGGAAGAGATGATGTGGAAGAATATGGAGAGAGAGCGAGAGGGAAAAAAATAATAATAATAATTGAGGGTCAAAGAGCGACAAGTGACAGAAACCAGGACGGTATTGCGAATACCTGATTTGGTAGTGGGGGAAGCTGCGCGATGGTCGTATTGATGCTTATAGTGGAGGTATCACGCAGGTAATAATGCACTGTCCTAGAGTATTTTTAACCTTTCCGGTGGAGCCGACGGTCGGCGAGGAATTCAATTCGCATCAAAACTGACAACAAGACTTTGGCACCCATGGATTGCACCGTCAGAGACTCTATAGACTTTTGTCGCAGGCGATCTAATCACACCATGAAGCAAAAAGAAACAGATGCAGTCTTAAATTGATTAGGGAAGACGTGAGGTTTGTCTTTTTGTCTTTTTGTCTGCCTGTCCGTCTGTCCGTCTATTCTTATTCAGAGTTATCCGCAGCCACAGTGATATACTTGTGCTCCGTACTTTGCATTGATTAGATTTATTACTGTATTGGCCCAGGCGGTAAGATCCTCCATTGATCCCATCATGGTTCGCCTGTTCGTGTTGGAGAAACGCAGTAAGAAAGAAAAATGGAAGAAAGAAAAAAAGAAAACAGAATGAAAAAGTGATTGTTAAACCTTACCCTGCAGCTACATCTTGATGCCTCGGAAAAGGTGCTGACGACGAGGATCTCCTTATTTTCATTTTCTAATTCCGAAGCGTAATGTTTTGTGAATTGCCCTTTCGGCCCCGGATATTCCCACCTCCTGCTTCTTCTTGACCTTCTTGAACTTCTAATGGATTCCTTTTAGTGGAGACACTCCCCATTTAGTCTTCTCTTAGCATTTTGCCCTTTTGCCTTTTTGCCCTCTTGCCCTCTTGCCCTCTTGCCCTCTTGCCCTCTTGCTCTCTTGCCCTTTTCTCCTTTCCCCCCCGTTCATGATTACCTACCTATTCTCCTTTCCACTCCTTGTACTATTTATCGTACAGTACGTGATCTCGGTTGGCCGGACCATCGGTTATCGGAATCAGAGTAAGTGTGCTGTAGTTGGCTAATTTACACCAGCACCCAAGAAATTTCTGTCGTTCCTGATGGATCATCCTGTATCAAATCTGATTGCGCCATGCCTGTCTGCGGCAAAAGTGGACTGCGAGGGCTGCGATGAGGCAGTGTCAATCTGGTTCAGGAGGCTGATGGCCTCCCGCTGACTCCTTGGCTAGTCAGGAGAGCCTCAAGAGAGCCTCAGGAGAGCGCCCTGGCCGTGCAAGTAGATTTAACAAGAAAAAAAAAAAGGGTATCTTACACAGTAGACCTAACATTTGTGTCGGCAGGCGTGGTGGTAGATCTCTACGTATTGCGAAGTCGGATTGTTAATCCGTATAACTTACATAGTACTGTACATACAACAGTAGGCAGAAGAATTTCTGGTAAGTTAACGCTCCGCCAGGTGGTTGGGCTCACCATGCGATCGTGAGTTCCATCTTTCCAAGGCATAATTCTCGATCTCCAGTCCCCTGAGAAATCAATGTCCCAGTTCTCTCCATCCCTGCTCGCATGTCGGACATTCGGAATGATGCACCAGCACAATTCAACCCCACTCACGACCTTCAGTGTCCTCCCGATCGCGATTACACAAGCCACCTTACCTTTGCTTTTGAGGTTCCATTATATACTTGAAGCACTGGATAGGTTGCCACAATATGAATCGTGGCCCCTCCTTGCCCCCTGAGTATAATAACCACCATGTCCCATGGTGAAAAGGGGATGTCAAGATCTGGTAAACAAGGGGGTAGCAGGATAACTACTACATACTCCGAGTAGTTTGTAGATAAAAGCCCGTAAGGAAGACTGCACTGCATATTTGCGCCTGCTGTGGGCACGTCATGCCTAAAATTCAAGCGGAGAGACCAACTCTATCTTCTCCGGCCGGCCAGTAACTTGATTGAGCCATAGAACGGGGTTCCTTTTCGGATGGTGGAGGAGAGGAAGGGCTCCAAAGAGGTCGTAGGTACAAAGTAAGTTAATGGTTCACCATGGCATCCTTGCCAATGGATGAATTGATCATCTGGTAATGCGTCCGCCATCCATTCCCATTGGGTGCTGCATAGGCATAAACCCCGAAAAACTAGAGCGTGTGTTTTTTCCCAGGGCAGACCGGGCAAGGTGCAGTGCCCCCCGCTGGCGGCGGCGGCGGACTAAGAATAGATCGGAATCACGCATGGATTAGACTTGGAGACTTACTCCAGGAAGACTACGTACGTACTGTACCAGGCACGGTACCGAGTACCGAAGGTGTGTATGCGCTAGTACGGAGTCCTCTTCCTTTTTCGTCCGATTTGGTCAACTATACCATACTTGCGCTGGATCGATTTGTATCATTTACCCAGTTATCTAGGCACATTGCATGATCTCTGTTGGAGACCTCAAGGTGAATGACTACACATGACTTAAACATGAGTACGTAGTATGCTACGCGTGGCTGGTCTTTTGAGCGTTGATCGCTTGTTGTGGGGGCTTACACCAAGAACCACGAAGCAACAATACGTACCAGCGATCAATAGCAAAGAGATCTCGACTCGGGCGGGGGATTACCTAATTAGCTTGAGAGGCAGTCGGTCTCCACGGATTCACAGAGTAATGTCTGTAGGGAGTACTAATCTCCAATCAGGTGGACACTGTTCTACCCTGTTATCCAGCTACTGACACTTGGATCCTTCTGGCAGTAATCGGGATTTCAGGTACTGTATGTACAACGCAAATGTGCAGTCCCGCTATCGGCCCTGCAATGGCTTGAACTTAAGTTAGTCTGTCCTTCCGTCCATCTCCGTCCATCTCCGATGCCCCTCTAACGGAGCTGCCACTGCCAGGGCGAGGGGGTTGGTAAGCTTGGCAACCCGACCCCTCTCTGGAGGAGGGGCAAAGCCTGTCAAACTGTCAACCTGACTCGAACTCTCTCATCATCATGAGCAGTGAAATTTCATGACGGTGGTTGGGTTGCGGAGTTTCAACCTCCAACAATGACAACATCACCAGGAATGGTGACATACGCAAGATGGATTACTGGTCCCATGGGACGAGCCTACAAGGCCGCCCATTGTGCCTCCACGCTTTATCGGGCCAAGTGCGGGCGGTGGAGACCAGACCTGGTGACGAGCACCCTCCCTGGACCCCTCCTCTCAAACATCTTTCGTCTGTCTACAGCTAGTACCAACGTCTAAGCCTTTGTGAAACACGAATCTTGACGACATTTCATCGACATCCATGGTTGTCATCAATCTTTCTCGCGGCTGGCCCAACCCCGCCTTGCTGCCCGCCGCCGCCTTGGCCTCGGCCTCCGCCACGGTCCTCGCCTCCCCAAGCATCTGGCAACCAGCCTTGCAATACGGCCCTGATGAAGGCTTTCAGCCGTTGCGTGAGCACGTTGCTCACTGGCTCACAGAGTTCTACCAGCCACGCAGTCCCATCTCCCCGGATCGCATCTGTATCACCGGCGGCGCTAGCCAGAACCTTGCCTGTATTCTTCAAGTCTTTTCCGATCCGGTCTACACACGCAACGTCTGGGTGGTCGCCCCTACATATCACCTTGCAGGTCGCATCTTCGATGATGCTGGCTTCGCCGGCCGCCTGAGGGCGGTGCCTCTGGATGCGGCGGGTCTGGATCTGGCCTATCTACGAGAGGAGTTGATTGCAGCTGAATTCAAGGCCTCCCGTGAGCTGAACCTGACACCGGTGCGCTAGAACCTTCTTTTCCACCGGCCTTGCAATATCTTCTGTCTCTGCTCCGCACAGCGGGCGGTAGTCACCATAAACTAACTGAAACTAAATTTACAAAGGAATACAAACCAAAGCGACCATGGAGAAAGATCTACAAGCATGTCATCTACGCCACGCCTACCTTCTCAAATCCCTCCACTCTCACTATGTCGCTGTCGGACCGCGAACAATTGGTCCGTTTGGCGCGTGAGTTCGACGCCTTGATTATTACCGACGATGTTTACGACTTCCTCCAATGGCCCGCAGAACCGGCTGCACAGGAGACACAGCCGGAACACGCACAATTGCCCCGGATTGTGGACATAGACGGATACTTGGAAGGCGGACCATCTGATGAGTGGGGCAATGTAATCAGTAACGGGAGCTTTAGTAAGCTGATTGGAGCTGGCATGCGGACCGGATGGGCGGAGGGAATGGAGAAAACGGTTTACGGTTTATCTCAGACGTAGGTGACCGCCGACAGTTCTAGTCTCAAAACCCACTTCGTACAAGCTGACATCGGTTTGCCATAGGGGATCGAGCCGATCGGGGGGAGCGCCCTCCCAATTTTCCGCCTCCATGGTCGCGCAACTGTTTCCCACGCGGGTCCTCCAAAAACATATCAAGGACGTGCTGCAGCCGGCATATGCAGCTCGATACAAACGAATGATGTCTGCTATCAATGAACACCTAATACCTCTGGGCGTCACACCGACGGCTCCTAGAGGGACCGCAGGGGGATACTTCATCTGGCTTCAACTGCCTACTCCCCTTCGAGCAACCGAACTGGCTTCGCTCGCACTTCGGGAGCACGACGTCGAAGTGGCGGCAGGGAACATGTTTCGCGTGCAGGGCGATCCTGCGACGGAGAAAAATGATTTCGATAATGGGATGCGTCTCTGTATTGCGTGGGAGGATGAGGATCAGCTCGAAGAAGGTGTGCGCCGACTCGGGTGCGCCATCCTCCAGGTCTTGCAGAAACGATGAGGACGATCTCGGTGCATCAGCTGCCCAAGTAGAGGGGCGACTCTCTCGGACTGAGCGATATCGAGCATTTAGAATCGCGCAGGCGCGGGCGTGACCAACACGAATTCAAGGTCAGCATCTAAAGATTTGGTTGCCATAGAACGTAGTAAATGGCGCCTGATGGTCGTTCACGGGGACTGAGTGGTAATTAAGCGTAAAGCCGACGCGGGGAAGGGGCAGCTGACATGCTGCATATATACAGTAGTTCGTGGCCGGGGCGAAATGCAACGCGGGGACAGAACATCAGTCAGCCAGGCTCATGAGATCTGGAAATGGTTCCGTGACGAAGACGGACAACGGTACGGAGTAGATACGGTTGGGTTGTACTTTTGGACAAAGGGGAGTAGCGCCTTTCGAGTGAAAAGGAATGAAAGGACGCGTCAAATAACTCTCTTTCTTCGGAGTCCCTGGCGAAGGGGGAGGGTGAAGGGGAAACTTGGCCAGAGTCCGGTTCTCAGAGACACCACATTCTTGCCGCAGTGTGCCTTGCCCTAGGCTGTTTATTGTTTGTCGTCTTTTTCTTGTGGGCAATCGAATGGCTGAATATGTGAACTTGAATTTTGAATTGACTACATAGTACCAAGCCCAGTCAGAGATGAGATTAATGAGCTGGCTATCAGATGGCTTGTGCACCATGAAAAGCAGAATGTCTCGGATCAAGGCCAACTAGCGGGCCTATTTATTGTCTAGTGGTAGATCGGCGACCCAGTGGGTGTGTGCCATCTGAAACAAAAGCTTGACGGCACTTGCGATATTGGATTTGGACCCATTCATTTAAATCGATGAAGATGGGGGAGCAGTCTCCTAAGAGTTATATTTCGTTATCAAGATTAATAACAACTTATCACCTGTCGCTCCTAAGTCTGTAGTAGGTTGCCCCGAGAGTGCGTTTCTCTGCAGCAGCATGCAGCAGCCCCTGGAGTTGTTGACCTCCTGAACCTTGTTCTTTGTTCGCTGTAAACCAGGGGGAAGCAGAGTGGGGCGATGGCCTGAGGCACCTAGTTCCTGCGGTAGACCTTCGCAGCCAGGCCTACTTAGTAGTCAATCTGATCTACGCTTCGCGGCACCCCATAAGTGTCCAAGAGGGTGAACTTCCTCCTTACTATTCAGAACAGACGATCGGTCAAGTTGAATGATAAGTATTCTGACCCTTGGATCAAACGCCAATGCACCTAGTCTGGAACCTACAGCAGCATTACTGCCCAGACCCCCTCTCCGCCGGTTGACCCGTGGACGATGAGGAATGTCACTCGCTACGCAGCATCCTGGACAGCGGAAGGGTGCGTTTGCGCGGTGCTGTCCTAGCCTATTGGGGGTCTATCTCATGCCATTCTTAGGGACCGGTTGTTGATCGGATTCCACTCATGCAGCCCACGCGCGGGACGAGAGCGAAGCAGAATCGTCGATCTGCCATAATCGACTGGATTCTGGCCACGGCGGCTATGTTGATCCCAGGGCAGTCCTGTTATTTATCTCATTCAGTCCGCTGATCGGCTGACTCGCGCTCTTTGCTTTCTTCTCTCTCTCTCCCTCCCTCCCTCTGTCTGTCTTTTTTTTTTCCCACCTCTGGACTGTGGGGATACCTTCCTTCTCCTTCTATCATACACCCTCTTGACCCTCATTGTTCGCTTTTCCCAGGACACGTCCGGGGAAATTTGGATCGAGGCTCTGTTGTTGTGTGCTCATCTTGCAATCACCACTCGCTCCTTTGGTCTGGTGTGAATTGTTTATCTCTGTTCGGAAGGGAGCAGAGTCTGTCACGGCTCTCAATTCGCTCGCTCGCGACCGTCATTTGCACGTCCAAGGTTCTGCACGGGTGCACCGGCGAATATCAGACGGGAAAGGTTCTAAGTTCTCCAAAGTAAGTGCTGACTGAGGACTGGATGTAGTCAGATGCTTGGTTGGGCTGGAACTGGTCATCTTCCCACTGCAATCTGCTGGAGTGGCTCAGGAGTGGTCCGGGGGGCTCCAATCAGAGAGAGAAAGTGTACTGACTGGCTCGTGTAGTCTTGCTTCGGTTGTTTCAACCCCTGAGCCAGGCGTTTCACGCGTGCCTTCGTCAAGGTTTATTGGAGACTAGGAATCAGCTGCGTGAGGGGGTGCCGCGGTGCTTTCTGCCACGGACAATCGGTCTCTGCCAATCAAGCCAGGGCGGTATTCGGGCGCTACTGTGATTGTGGATTCAGTTTCCCAGTGTTAGTGCTGGTTGATTCTGCTAGTGCCAATAGTGGAGAGTTGGTAACCTGCCTAAGGCCACTAAGGTTTAATCAGTGCCTGGAAGGACCCGCGCCGGAACGGAACCAGTGCCAGTCCATCTCGGGGTCGAGCCAGTCTTTTAATCTACTGATTGTCCCTCTTCCTGCTCGTGATTCTTCACAAGCCGGCTTGCTTTCTTTCTCTTGCTCACCTTCGTTCCCTCTTCTCTTCGTTTGTGTTCCTCCCTCCTGCAGTGTGTGTGTGTCACACGGTGTGAGATACTGTGTTCAGTGCCTGCAGGTTCTTGGCTACAGCATCGGTTGTGTGTTGTCGCATTCATTCATTGATTTATCCTTTGACCTTTCCTTCATTCCACTTACTGTCTTGTTGGCCTGCCACTCTTTGGTCATTCCCCTCTTCTTTCTGCTTTTTACCCCGGTTTTCAGTTTGGGAAGCTGCGGAAAGCCTCTCCTTCTGACTGGGTCTTGTGACGGATATCGCTTCGTCATCCGATCTCTGTTTTGGTCTTTAGTTCAGTGCCGGTTGCTGAACTGTCTCGTCGCTTCCCTGCCTGCCAGTCAGCCAGCTATATTACTGTCCTACTCCACACCCTCATTGTCTCTGCAGGCTCAGTGACAGACATCTACAACCTCGACCATGGCTGTTTTGAACACATTTTTCATGCTTTTCGCAGCCCACATGCTGCTGTTGCTCGGCCTGCCGGCCGGGCTGGTCTCTGCTGTTCCCATGAAGGGGGGCTTGGAAGCCCGCGGGGAGTTGAAGGCTCGCGACTCGACCTACTGGGTGGCTGATATCACACGTCAAGGCACTGTGCCTTTTGGTAACAGCTCGAGCTACCAGATTTTCCGCAATGTCAAGGACTTTGGTGCCACTGGTAGGTTGAAGGTGCTGGACGATGAGCAGACCGTACGCTAACAGGCGACCCTTAGGTGATGGTTCTACTGATGACACCGATGCTATCAACAAGGCGATCTCCTCCGGCAACCGGTGCGGCCAGGGCTGCGATTCCTCGACTACAACTCCGGCTCTTGTGTACTTCCCTCCCGGCACATATGTTGTATCAACGCCCATTGTGCAGTACTACTACACGCAGCTCGTTGGCGACGCCAACCAGCTCCCTGTACTCAAGGCGTCAGCCAGCTTCACTGGCATGGCTGTGATTGATGCGGACCCCTACACCAACACTGGCGCCAATTGGTATACAAACCAGAACAACTTCTTCCGTGCCATCCGCAACTTTGTCATTGACCTCACCGCCATGCCTGAATCCTCCGGTGCCGGTATTCATTGGCAAGTTGGCCAAGCCACCAGTCTGCAGAACATCCGGTTCGAGATGATTAAGGGAGGAGGTAACGCCAACAAGCAGCAGGGTATTTTCATGGACAATGGATCTGGCGGCTTCATGTCAGATTTGACTTTTAACGGTGGTAACTATGGTGCCTTCCTGGGTAATCAGCAGTTCACGACCCGCAACCTGACTTTCAATGATTGTAACACTGCCATTTACATGAACTGGAACTGGGCCTGGACCTTCAAGTCTGTCACCATTAACAACTGCGGTGTCGGTCTAAACATGTCCGCTTCTCCCTCGAACCAGACTGTTGGCTCCGTCTTAATGCTGGATAGCAAGTTTACCGGCACACCCATTGGTATTGTGACTGCTTTCAGCTCTGACAGTATTCCTACCGGTGGTGGCGCTCTCGTTCTTGATAACGTTGACTTCACTGGTTCCAGCGTCGCTGTGGCCAGTGTTTCCGGCAGCACGATTCTGGCGGGTGGCTCTGTCATCGACAACTATGTCCAGGGTAACGCCTACACTCCCTCCAGCACGCTCAAGAAGCGCTCGCCTGCTGTTGAAATCATTGTCGAAACCATCACCACGACCATCGAGGTTTGTCCTGCGGATTACCCGACCGGATCTGCAGCCTCCGCCTTCCACACGGCTGCTACTGAAGCTACACTGAATGGTGCCGAGGCCACTGCTGTCACTGCTGCCACTGACCGTCGCCCTCACACTGGTAGCACCTGGGGTAGCTCTGAGAGCACTGCCACCGGTCAGTACTCGCCTTCCGTCGTGGAGACATCTGCACCACAGCCGACTAGCTACCAGTCTGGCTCTGATGCCCAGGCTTCTTCACCCGCAGGCGGATCATCCCAATCATCCGCTCAACAATCTTCTCCTGCCGGTGACTCTTCTGCATATGGCTCTCAGTCGAGCTCTGTCGCGCAGCAATCTTCTCCGGTTGGTGGATCTTCGGGCTCGAGTGCCCAGCAGTCCTCTGCTGCCGGCTATTCTGCCAGTACGACCCATGTTCAAGGCTCATCTGCCGCTGTTGCTACGTCCGCGGCCGCCTCCTCTGCCCACGCTTCTGGTTCTTCCGGATCTGGTACCTGCACCTACAAGACGGTCACCAAGACTCGCCTCGAGACCACCGTGGCATCCCCAGCCAAGCCCAGCGCCCTTTTGAACAGTGACGGTTCCCTGTTCGAGAAGTCCAAGCCTTTGTATGAGGACTACGCTGCTTCCTCTTTCATCAGTGTCAAATCCGCTGGTGCCAAGGGTGACGGCTCTACCGACGATACCGCTGCCATCCAAAAGGTCCTTGACTCGTGCACAGACGATCAGATTGTCTATTTTGACCACGGTGCCTACATCATCACTGATACCATCAAGGTCCCCAAGAATATCAAGATCACCGGTGAAATCTGGCCAATGCTGATGGCGTATGGTGACAAGTTTTCCGACGCGGAGAACCCCATCCCCATGCTCCAGGTTGGTGAGGTTGGCGAGAGCGGCTCCGTTGAAATCAGCGACTTGATTGTCGAGACCAAGGGTCCTGCTCCTGGCGCCATTTTGATTCAGTGGAACCTCAATGCCGACTCACAAGGCTCGGCGGGTATGTGGGATGTTCACGCTCGTATCGGTGGATCGGCAGGCACTGAACTTCAGAGCGATACCTGCACCAAGACCCCTGACCAGACCACCACCCCCAACTCCGACTGTGTTGGCGCTTTCCTCCTTTTCCACGCCACCGAGCAGTCCAGCGTTTACCTTGAGAACACCTGGTTCTGGACTGCCGACCACGAGCTCGACTTGTCAGACCACAACCAGATCAATATCTACAATGGCCGTGGAGTTCTCCTTGAGACTCAAGAGTCCGCATGGTTGTATGGTACCGCTTCTGAGCACAACCAGCTCTACAACTACCAAGTCTCCAATGCCAAGAATGTCTTTATGGGTCTCATCCAGACTGAGACGCCCTATTACCAGGCGAATCCCAATGCCCTTACTCCCTTCACTCCCAACACCACCTGGAACGACCCTGATTTCTCCTACTGCACCACCGACTCATGCCGCAAGGCCTGGGGTCTTCGTGTTCTCAGCAGCTCGGAAACGTATGTTTACGGTGCGGGTCTTTATAGCTTCTTCGACAACTACTCCCAGACCTGTCTCGACACGGAGTCCTGCCAGGAGAACATCGTGGAAGTGGACTGCTCCGATGTGCACATTTATGGTCTCAGCACCAAGGCCAGCACCAACATGGTGACTTCGGCAAGTGGAGAATCGCTGGTGCCTCAAGAGGGCAACGAGAGCAACTTCTGCTCGACGATCGCGTTATTTGAGTTCTCGTCCTCCTAGACGCTGTGCTCTTTTTAGTTTTATCTAGTGGTTTAGTCGAGTGAGTTTACTTCTTCTCAGTCCTTTGTGACTTGCTCTGATGGTAGCGGCAGTAGAAGCGTCTAAATTGGTTTTACGGGGTGGGTGGTTATGTGCTAGATCTGAAGATAAAGAGCTGATGGGGGTGACTGTCGATAGATACCATTTTGTTCACTTTAGTTAGACTGAATTACAATAATACATGGTCGCCATTCCACCTTTTGCATATTATAATTGTGACTGACCGTGCTGCAAATACCAAAAGGCTAACCGAGGAGGGCGGACCGAAGCCCGAGGCTTTTCTTTTCCCCAGATTCTCCCCGCATGTCTACTGCCGCCTTCTCTTGACAACCACTACATTTGTTCTTTTTTCCCAACTCGACCTTCAATTATCAAGTACAACTTATCAAATCTTAGCAATGTCATACAAGAATATTTCTCACCGCAAGCAGCTTCAACTCGATGCGCAGATACCACATCAGTGGCGTCTGGAAGTCTCGCAGATTCCACCCGGTCTGCTTTCTCCGGCCGACTCAATCACGAGCACGAGCCAATATGAAGCCATCAATGTCATGGACATTCCGCGGACATGCGGGCTTCTCACATCAGATGAGTTGCATATCACCGAGCAATACGATGTACGCTCCTTGCTGGGTGCCATTCGTGAGAGGAAGTTGACTGCAAAGGAGGTAGTCCACGCTTTTTGCAAGGTAACGCTCTAATCCCGTGCTACCCTCTCTCACCATATTCTAACTCAAGGCACTTGCAGCGAGCCGCAATTGCACATCAACTCACACGTTGCCTCACGGAGCCTGTCTTCACGCAAGCCCTTCAGCAAGCCCAGAAGCTCGACGACCATCTTCAACGCACCGGCCAGCCCATTGGTCCCCTACACGGCCTCCCTGTTTCCATCAAAGATTCATTCCACATCACCGGCGTAGACTCCACCACTGGCCTTGCTGCCCTAGCCTTTCACCCAGCAGCCCAAAGCTCGCCGCTCGTCAACCTCCTCACCTCCCTGGGCGCTGTCATTATCGCAAAGACCAACGTCCCTCAGACCATGGGCGCCCTCGACTCCTGCAACCACCTGTTTGGCCGGACGCTCAATCCACTCAACCGTCGCTTGACCGTCGGAGGCAGCACGGGAGGTGAGGCGGCTCTCCTCGCAATGCGCGGGTCGATGGTCGGCTTTGGCACCGATATTGGCGGTAGCATCCGGATTCCCGCCATGTGCACCGGGCTGTACGGATTCAAACCCAGTGCCGGTCGCGTGCCGATTGCGGGAAGTCAAGAGGCAGGCAGCATGGCCGGCAAGGGGAGGGTCAGTCTTCAGTCGGTGGCTGGGCCTCTGGCCCGCTCAGTCGCGGATCTGGGGGTCGTGATGGCCGAGATTGTGCCTCGCACGGAGCTCTTCAGTGAGGAGGGAATCCCAGGTAGATGGTTTGGTAGTAGCGTGCTCGGTTATCCTCCTATATTCGGAGGTTCAGCCGACACCAAGCTTCAATCTCCCTCTGGAAAATGTAAAGGTTTCACTGTCGGAATCCTCCGTCGTGATGGGCTGGTCGAGCCTCTTCCACCTGTCGCCAAGGTCATCGACGAGGTAGCACAGTTACTGCGACGGACGCCCGGAATCAGGGTCGTGGAGATCCCTGTGCCTGCCGCTCTGAGCAAATGCCAAGGTATTGCTGGTCGACTGATGGGGGTTGACGGGGGCAACCCTATGATGGATCTGCTGGAGAGCACCGGGGAGCCCTTGATACCCTGGCTGAAGGGCCGGATGAAGCGGGGTCGGGAAATGACGCTCGCGCAGGTAGGCGAGTTGCAAGCACAACGAGCCCAGGTTGAGCGGGAGGTGCTGCAAATATGGACGTCTCGGGGGGTCACAGCAGATGCCAGTTATACTCGAGACATTGATGCGATCATTCACCCGGTCGCGCCGCATCCAGTGCCGGAATTGGATCGGTACAATGCGGTTGGGTATACTTCGTCCTGGGTGCTGCTTGATTACCCAGCGGGCACAATTCCCGTGCGCTCGTTCAAGGAGGAGGATCTGGAGCTGGGGACGGAGATGACGGCACCGGTTCTGGGGAGCTGGGATAAGGCTAATCGATTGCTATGTATGTTTCATCTTCACTTGTCTTTCCTACTGGATTCTAATGGTCAACAGGGAACCAGAAGACTGTGGATCGCCGAGTGTACTTGGGTTCGCCGCTGAGTGTGCAGGTCATTACGCCCAAGCAGCATGACTACGAGCTCGTCCAGGCCATGGAGCTGATTGATCGAGTTGTGAGGGGAGATGTGCAAGTTCCTGCCATGCTTTGAACAACATCGACAGAGCCGTTCACTTTTTTCAGCCTGTGATACGTCCATCAAAGGCCTTTAGTCTAGTACCTCGACACGTCTCTGCCAAAGAGGTGATTCAACATCCAGCGAACCGCAACTCGGACCTTATTCCTCCAGCTGATGCTCATGGTCAGATACGCTGAGTTCCACACCAACCAAGCGGTCCGACCCTTCAGCCCCTCTGGGAGGTACTTATGGTGCTCTCTGTTTTCGTGCGGAATTTGCAACAGGGCATTCGCGTTTCCAATATAGGCCAACGTGCCCATGTTGCGGAACGAGAATGGGGCTGTGGGCTGCGAATCTCCCCGGTTGAGACGATTAGCCAGCCACTTGGCCTCCTGGAAAGTTGCCTGTGCCGTCGCTGGTGGTGCGCCTTTCTCTGGCATGGCGTTGTCCCCCAGGGCAAAAACGTCTTGCAGCACCACTGTGTCCCCACTCTCGTTCTCCAGCTGCACGCGCAACTGCTCATCTACCAACAGCGCTCCGACTTTCGGCGCTTTCTTGACATGCCACGCGGACCGTTGCACGACGTCCTCACTCGGTCGGCCGCTCCCATCCTTGAGCAAAGCCGACTCGTTTGGGAATGCTTGGACATCGGCCAAGGCGTCTCTAACGAAAGGATTCATTGCGTTTCCCGTCGCCCAGACGCACATACCTACGCCGACCTCGCCCTCCTCCTTCGTGGTCAGAGTCAAACACCGCTTCGGATCCATCTCCGCGGGCGCCTCCTCCCCCGGAGCGCCCCATCGCAACCCCTCCACATGATGCGAAACCTTAATGTCCACCCCTTCCTTCCGCATCGTATCCATCGCATATTTCGACAGCGACTCATCGAACATCGACAACACCGTGGGCGCCACATCGTACAGCGAGAGCCTCGGAATACCCTTCAACGAGGGATACAGCGCCATGAGATCCGCGGAGATGAAATCCCGCAGCGCCGCCGCCAGCTCCGTCCCGGTGGGCCCCGCGCCGACGATCGCGAAATGCAGCAGCCAGCGCCGCATCTCAGGCGAGGTGGTGGGCAAGACAGCCAGCTCGAAGCATTCGCGCACGCGGCGCCGCACGCGCCGCGCATCGCCCACATCCTTGAAGAAGAAGGCGTTCTCGCGCACGCCGGGCGTGCCGAAGGTCCTGCTGACGGTGCCGACGGCGATAACGAGCTTGTCGTAGGGGACCGAGAAAGTCTCCCCCTTCTCCCAGGTGCGCGTGGAGGATGCTTGGAGGGGTTGTGATTCGCCGTCATCGGTGCGCGGGGACTCGGTCACTCCACTCTTGACGACGGTGGCCTCGCAGATGACGGTCTTGGAGGCGAAGTCGACGGCGCGGGCGGCGGCCTGGATGAAATCGACCTTGGCATGGCGGTCGCGCACGGGTTCGACGATGTGCGAGAAGTCGAGGGAGCCACCGGCGGTGTCGGTGAGGAGCGGGGTGAAGACAAAGTAGGAGCGCGGCGAAATGATGGTGGGGGTGAAGTGGGCGGGGGAGAGCTTGCGCGAGAGGTTGTATCCTCCCCAGCCGGAGCCGAGGATGACGACTCGGGGCTTGTCGGGGTTGGGGACTGGGGTCGGTGAATTCGAGGTATGTGTTGCTAGGGCCCTGGCTGTGACTGTGGGCGTGTTTGTTGATGTGAGCATAGGTGAAGTTATAGTAGATAGGGCATGCTTGTCTACCCGTGGTCTGCTAGAGAGCAGCGATATCGACCTTCCTCTTTCCCTGCCAATGCTCAAGGTCGCGGATGATTTCAGACTCTGCAGTCTAGCAGGGGCCCTACCCCAGAAGGATGATGATAACATCCGTCTCATGATGTATGTATGTACCGTCCGCACACAGCAAATGTACAGGACTTGGGCGCAACTAAACTGAACCCGATCTTTCACCAGAACCAAGAACTCCACAAAAAACACAACCCCCCGTTCCAGAAATCCCAGCTTATATAAAGAAAAGTACGTCGGTGCGCATCGGGACCCAAAACTTCTACTCGGATTGACACATGATGAGATCATCCCCTTTTCCTTTCTCCTTCCCTAGGCAGCTTTCATCCATGGATCCTTAACTTCCCGAGCCCGTGGGCCTTCAGGTTCCACAATCTCTTGAAACTTCCGAGTCCGGAGACAAGATCAAAGAAGAAAACAGATCCCTGTTTCTTCCGCTTCCGCTGAGATGAAGAGAACCAAGGCGTGCCGGTGAGGATGATGGAGGTTCTTTGACTCACCGAGCTCGGTTGGGATCGGAGATCGGGGGCGTTCGGGAACGGGTTGGTGGATTAGGTTTTGGGTCGGTGGGTCTTGGTAGTGTTACTCACTACTCAGTAGTTTGGTGTATAGTTCGGGACTTGGGTTGATTTAGGGAGTTGGAAGTGGATCACATGGGTTTTAGAGGTTGAGGTTGAGGTTGAGGTTTTTGTGCGTCGGGTTTGTGGTGATGGATGGGATGCATGGATGAGCATGCAGACAAGAAGTACAGTATAGTATAGTACAGTACAGTACAGTTGACAGGGGGTTAGACTATAGTTACCTAACATGTGTTTGTCCTGTTCGATGAGCATGTGGTCTCATGCATGCAGGCATGATGGATGTGATACTATTGACCTCGAATTTCCTTTATTCTAATTCACTTGATAATATAGAAAAAATCGTGAACGAAGTATCCGTCATGCGCTTCCTCACCGACCAGACCACCATCCCCGTCCCATTCATCCTGCACTCAGGAACCAAGCAAGAGAGCCCTCTCGCATTGAGCCCATTCATCCCCATGGAGTACATCGAGCACGAGACAAAAATGAACGATCCGCTCAACACCCCCGGTCTTCCCAGAGAGCAACGCGGGGTGCTCGACCCCGACATCGCAGAGGATAAGCTGAGGAGACTGTACGCCCAGATGGCCGACGTCCTACTACAACTCTCCCTTCCTGCCCTCCCGCGAACAGCGCCTCACCACTCCAGCACTGGAGAACGGCCCCTTCCATCTCTGGTGCGACGACCTCCGTCCCGCGAATGTACTTCTATCCCAAGACCTGCACATAGCCGGGGTGGTCGACTTGGGAGCTCACCTACGCTGCCCCCGTGCAATTCTCCCACGCTCCGCCGTGGTGGCTTCTGATCGAGCGGCCCGAGGAATGGGCCGGGGGGGTTGAGGAGTGGACTCGGGTGTTTGAGGCCCGGCCGCGCACGTTCCTACAAGTTATGCAGGAGGGCGAGGGTCAAAAGATCCAGCGGGGTCGGTTGCACGAGGGGCAGAGGTTGTCCGGTGCGATGCGGCGGAGCTGGGAGGGTGGGGACTTCTGGGTACTGTATGCGCTGCGGAATAGCTTTGCGTTTGATCTGGTTTATTGGTTGAAGATTGATGAGAGGTTTTGGGGCTTAGTGGACGAGGGTTAGAGAGGGCGTGGGAGGAGCGGGTTGGGTTGTTGAGTGAGGAGGAGAAAGAGGAGATGGAATTGCTTGGGACGAGGAATATGGGCGGCAAGGGGAGTAGGCCTCTTGTTTGGGATGCGGATGAGTATACTTTCAGTGTGGCTTTTCAGCGGGAATTGGAGAGACGGAGGGAGGGAGATCAAGGAGGGAAGGATGAGGTTGGAGGTGATGGTGTTCGTAGTGTGGAGGATGGTGAAGTAGATAAGATATTCGGCCTACACGCTGTGTAAATTTTCTCGCCATCTCACGACGCATTGAGTGAAATATTCCAATTTTCGACTACCACACCCACTCTGGCCTCACAAACAATCAGTCCAGTGGACCATGCTGTGGCAGTAACTGACAAGGACTCAAAGGTTGAGATTCGCTGATTCGAAACAGAACCAATAAGTCTCTGGTTTTCCTCCCATCAATAGTCGTCGTCATCGGTCACGCAAAGCCTAGCAACATCGAAGCAAAGCTTATCATCAGTATAATCAGGCTCATCACTATCATGACTAGATTGCTTTCCCTCGGCCTCATTACTAGGCGAGCCCTCGTCCTCCTCGTCTCCATCAGGCCAAAAGTTATCCAACGCCGCAAGATCATCCGGGTCCGCATACGGGTACACATCGAAATCGCCATCAATGGAGCTCAGCAATGGAGCTCGATACCCTTGATACATAAGCTATAAACTCCATGAGTACAGTCACCCCTATGAAAATCATGAAAGGGAGAGCAGAACGGAAAGAAGAGAAAGGAGATCAAAAAGAAAAGCCTGCTTACGGATTTCGCCGAGACAAACCTGATCACAGACCCCCAAAGATCAATTGCATATTCCCAGAGCTTTAATGCGCTAGCCGACTCGCCCAGAATCTGATCAATGACGTCATCCAGTGTCCAGGGCCATCCGTTCCAGTCCAGTACAAACATGAGATCCCATCTCTAATCTCAAATTCTCCTTAGCATAGAGCACTCCATAGTTTTGGTCTGGGGACTGGGCGACAACATACACTGGACGGAATGGGTAGGTCTTGCAGATCAAGGTACTCGTGGTAGATGGGTTCCGTGACAATCAGGAATCTCATGTCAGGCATGCTGGCTCGTAACATTTCGATAATGGCGGATTCCACTCCACGGACATCGTCGTCACTTGAGCTTGACATCGTGGTTGCTGGTCCTGGATTCGTGGCGAGTCGTTCTGGAAACTCTTTCGTGGAGAGTTCTTTCGTAGAGATTTGTTTGTAGGAATTGTTCGTGGAAAGCCTTTTGTAGTGAGTTGACGAGGAAAATCCGTATGAAGAATAGTCGACATGTTGGCCATTCTTCTCGCTTTTATGTTTGACGGTCACCGCTGGTCATGATGGCTGCATGGGCCGTTTGCTTAGTGTTTGACGCCCATCGCTGCGCTATTCCGCTGCTGCTTGGGGTTGTCTTTCTTTAGGTAAGAGAGATTTGAGACATGTGTCTGTCGATTTGAGATTTGACAGTATGCTAGATTCTTCAATGTTGATTTCTTCTGCCGCTCATGATGACCGCATAGGCTTGGTGCTTGTGGTTTGACGCCATGGATAACTTGATTCGCTGCCGACATTTCTAGTTGCTATTCTGTCAGTTTCTCCAGTCAACTTAAAAAGAGATCCTATGTCAAGTGGACGTGGATACAAAGTACGCTACAATTTGGATTCTCGTGGCGGCGACTCAGTAAAACAGGGCTCCGCCTGATATACCCAGCTAGGTCGCTTAGCCCCCGGATAAACAACCCTGAGCTTTCAAGAAACCAACCAGTCGTCTGAGTGTAATGTAAGAGTCCACCGAGGACCATATCTGAGGTGAGATCTGCAGCTGTCAAATTATTTTATTTGCTCATGTGCGCTCAATTTCATACTCAACCTCTGGTGGTTGAGAATGTAGTCTGAGAAATTGCTAAAGCTGGGCCCTGTCTCATTCAACATTTGTTGCTCGCGAGGCGAGCAGTCTCAGCCATGTTGAGGCTTGAGACATGCGAGGCAGAGGGTATTCATGCATTCTTGAGAGGAAACTTGTTTTCAATTTGACTTGAAGATGATTCTTGTTCTTTGTTAACTCGAATTGAAATCCTGGCTTGCTAGTTCTTGGTAACAGATAGAGACAGATGGAGAGATCATATTAGACATACAGACTGTTCTTTCTCTGATGCAGCAGGATACTCAGACATTCATGAATGTCGTATTAGCCCACTTCTATGTCTCTGGCCTTTGTGTCATGTTTTTGTAAGATTAACGATCACGTTCAGGACCTTTAGTATCTTGATTGCGTCGATGGCTTGGGAAGGGTAAGATGGCGGCCCGGGGAAAGAGATGACGAGACCAGCCATTGACTTGCTTGCATTGGGTGGCAGAGCTTTAGCGTATGAGATGGTATCTTTCTCCAACCAGTTTTTTCAAGAAGGGAGATTGGCGGAGACGTAATTCAACAGCTGGCAGGCCCTGGAAGAGGTAAGAATGTGCTCAAACGTGCGCATCGACTAACATGAGGGGGAGAGAGAGAGAGAGGAAGAGGAGAGAGGGAGGACCTTGGAGGTCCTGCCTTTACCTTCCCCTCCATCCCTCTCCTTCTCTTCTATTTCTTCCTCTCACAACTCTTCGTCATTGCCTACTGATTTCCATTCCCAAAGAATCTCTGCGCACCGTCGACTAACAATTATCACAACAGCTACTACCATAGCAACGAGAACCTCACGATGTCCCCCAAATACACCCTCCCACCTCTCCCCTACGCCTACGATGTAAGCTAAACCACTCTGCTAACTTCGTCAACAAATTCCGACATGCTTCAGAAAGTTCTAACTAACCCCCAACCAGGCCCTCGAGCCCGTCATCTCCCAACAAATCATGCAGCTCCACCACCAAAAACACCACCAAACCTACATCACCAACCTGAACGCCGCTCTCGACGCCCAAACCACCGCTCTCGCCACCAACGACATCCCCGCCCTGCTCAGCATCCAGCAGAAACTCACCTTCAACGGTGGCGGCCACATCAACCACTCGCTCTTCTGGCGCAACCTGGCCCCCTACAACTCCCCGGCCACGGACATCGCCCGCTCAGCCCCGACCCTCCAGCGGGCTCTCGAGCAGCAGTGGGGGTCGGTGGAGCGGTTCACCGCCGCCTTCGGGGCGGTCCTGCTGGGGCTGCAGGGGAGCGGATGGGGGTGGTTGGTGAGCGTGGGTGGGCCCGGTGGGAAGCTGGAGATCGTGAGCACCAAGGACCAGGATCCGGTGGTTGGAGGGAAGGTGCCGATTCTGGGTGTGGATATGTGGGAGCATGCTTATTATCTTCAGGTATGTTTTTCGTCTTGTGGATGGATTGAAGGCTTACGCATGGTGTAGTATCTGAACAACAAGGCGGGGTATGTGGAGCAGATTTGGAAGGTGATTAATTGGGTGGAGGCGGAGGAGAGGTACACCAAGGGGGTGGATGGAGCTGCTTTGTTGAAGTTGTAATATTACATATAGTTGTTGAGGTCTTACGACAAGCAAGTGATTGACGTCAATCCAGGTTATCATCTAATATAGTAACTTTCCAGCCAGCGGTATGGTAACTTAACGAACCGAAACCCCCACCCGTAACTCCATAGTACTCCAGACTCCCAGGCATCTAAACATAAACATTGAAATACTCTATACAGCTTAATCAAACCCAACGACCCCCCTTCCCATCTCAACCATGGCATCCACCCCATCCACCGCCACCCTCACCTCGCGCCCAACGATCCCCGTCCCCGAGACCCCGAGTTCCAACCTCTCCGGCAACACCACCTCAATCACCTGCTGCTGCTGCTGCTGCTGCTGCTGCTGCTCCTGCGATGACTGAATTCCACCAAGCCCAACCCGAAACCAATGCAACGGCGGCTCACAATTCCCACCCGTAGAGGCAGTCAAATCCCCATATTTCCTATCCCCCAACCATCGAAAGTATTAGCCCTGTGCAAAAGACGAGAAGAACCCACCACAGCATGAAAGGGGAATGGAAGCAACTCACTCGATCCGCAAGTCCACCCCCCGGGCAGCGGCAAAGATATCCCGGACCCTGGGATCGCGGAATCGGAAGATCGCCCTCGTCGGGCCATCGGGAGTGCGAGTGTCGTGGCTGAAGGTCAGGGAGTAGGAGGAGGACGAGGAGGACTTTTCGGGGGAGGGGAAGATGATGGCGATGAGGTTGCCGGTGCTGGGGCGGGTGGGGCCGCACATCTTCTAGTGATATCTAGGAGGTGGTGGAGGTTTGTGGCTATTTGTGTTTAAGAGTTGGTTGGTTTGGATGGTCGGTTTATGGAGGATGGTTGAGGTGAGAATTGAGTATGAAGGTTGATTGAGATGGCTCTTTCATGATGGAGGGAGAAAAGCATAGGAACTTATGGGGAGACAGTCTCCAAGGTGAAAGTGGTCTGGCTACCAAGGTAGATACAACGGTAGATACCCAGCACTGGAGGTAGGGGTCTATACTCGAAGATGCTCAAATCTGCGCAAATCAACGCGGGGAGTGGGGGGGGGCGAAGGTGGGGCCACGGTGGGGCGAAGTCTATCTCTATTGAGTTGATTTCTTTGTTGTCGAATTGAGGGACTGCATTCTGATTTGACCTTCATTCCTTTGACAATGGATGCCTATCTTGAGAATGTTTGAGAAGGATTCCCATTTAAAGGAGAAGGTCTTGTTGAAGGCCTGAGTAAAGGCTGTGCTACTCTGTATTTACATAAGGTCTTAGTCACCCTTGCGGTGGCTAACTAATTACTCAGTATCTACGAAGTTATGGCCCTCAAAGAATATTCCCATTTACTCGAACAATATGTACGTATGTACTTCCGTGTCGAACTCTATACTCTAGACTTCTACACGGACAAGAGCACCATCTGCCAGGCTCTTACTGCAAGGCTCGAAGCCTATGAACTGTACACCTTCACTGGGTGGGCCTCCGTGTTCAGCACGAACTGATTCCCACTCCCCTTCTGCACCTGCCATTCATCCTCCGGTGCGAACGCCAGGTACGAGTACTTCAGCACCTCAGCGAACATGAAACTCTCCTGGTTATCGTAGCGGTTGCCTCCGTTGGCGGCGTTGACGTTGGTCAGGCCCGCGAATCCCGAGTCGGTGCGGCAGTACTTGTTGATTGACTGGAAGGCGCTCCAGATCCACTCGCGATACTAAAGGTTTGTTTGTCAGCCATGAATACTTCATCCAAAGGGCCTCTTTGCTTACAATCTCTTGGCCAGTCACGCGCCACGCGTAATAGAAGCTCTCGATGACTTCCGGTCGGAGGATATACGCGCCACTGGTGATGTAGAAGCCAGCGCTCTCGAACAAAGACTGTTGGCTGCTGGGGACAGAGTTCGGGTCCCAGCTGAATGCCTCCGGGCCGATGCCGGTAAGAGTCGAATTGTAGGTGTCGTGGCAGCCGTTGACTAGTTCCAGACCAAAGTCGATCAAGTCGGAGCGGTCCAGGACCGTGCCACCGAGCAGGAAACTACCGCCATCAAAGCAAGTCAGGTGCTGAGAGCTCAGGCCCAACTTGCCATTGTTGTACGAGGCCAAAAATGTCAGGTCCGGGCGCGTGGACGGGTGCGACGCCAAGTGCTTCATGGATGACTCGGCCGCCGCCACCCAGCGGTCTTTGTAGGTTTCGAATCGATTCGGATCGTACACGTACATCTTGATCAGATACTCGTAGTACGAATCAGCACCACCGTTCCAGCTCACCGCTCCGTCGGCAAATTGGCCAGTCGCAATGTTGATGTTACTCCCTACCAATCCGGGGAAAGGCTCCGCAGATTGGGGTTGGGGGTTGAGCAGGTAAGACTCGGCCTTTTGGCTCAGGTTCGCGTAGGTAGAATCTCCAATCAAGTCGGACAAACGTGTCCATTCCAGGACAAGGGTGCCGGTGACTGCAAGGCCATTGGTCGTGGCTCCATCGTTACCTTTAGAGGTGATGTTGAGATTGTTGTACGGAACGCCCGACGGGGTGTCAAAGGCAAATTTTAGAACGTCACCCAGGTTCTTGGACTGAGTGAGCAAGGTGTCGACCTTCGATGAATCGTCCACCAGGTCGGCGGCAGGGCCTTTCAGCAGGTCATAGCCGGATAACATGCCGCCAAGGTAGCGAATGGTGGTCTCGAACAGGCTGACCGTGCTACTGGTGCTCGAGTAGTCAATCTTGGCTACATGGTCGAGAATCTGATTAACAATGGTCGCATTGCGCATGATCACGGCGGTAGAGAGAGCATCCACCGCGGACGCTCCCCATCCGTTCCGAGAATCCCCATAGCCATTGGAAACGGGGTGCAGCTCGTCATGGGGGAACGCATATTGATAGTAGCCATCCCAAGCGTGAGAAAAGGCCTCTTTGACGGCATCAGCGCGCGATTGAGCTTTGTCTTCGGTGCGCAGAACGGGCTGGACAAATCGGGCTTGCGGAAAGGCGGCACTAGGGCTGACGAGAGCCAACGCCGTCAGCGACAAAGAGAGTGAGGACAAATGCATGACCCCGGTGAGAGAGTGACACAAGGGCAACACGGGAAATTATGGACAACGAATGGGTACTGCACTCGAGAGCAGAAACAAACCCAAAGAGTGACAGCCTGAGGAAAACAGGCGGAGGGGAGGGACAACCAGTATAAATAACGATCGCACGCACTAGATCCCGCAATTCGGTGCTAGTTTTCGACAATGAGGATGGGGAAAAGAGGAGAGAGGGGGAGAGGGTGGAGAATAATTTAGGATTTCAAGAAGAAGGAGCCTGGACCTGAAGGAGCAGGAGGCATGCATAGGGAGAGAAAGGCTACATCATGGCCAGCAGTTGGTCCATTCCTCGCCGATCTGGGGACCGCGATTGGTGACTGCAGGGGCCTCCACCGTCCATGCTATGCATTGAGCTGCAAGGGTGGATTCCGGTTTGGACCGGAGCAGTCTGGATATGAGTACCTTCTTCCTTTTGTTCATCCCAGAGTCCAGGCACCAGACCAGACTCCCGAGAGTGTGACAAGTCGAAGGTCGACTCGGACCCCGTTGCCTCAAATTGATTCGGTTAGACTTCTGGAGACATCACTGGGGCAGGTCAGCTCGCCTGTCAAGGGTCAGAGCAGATGATGCGGAGAGAAAGCAGATGATCGCATTTCCCCTCATTGATGGAAATGATCGGCAGGAGCACTCGGCAAAAGAGGTGAAAGACCCTTAAGCTGACTAGACTATCTTAAGCCAGAATGTCACTATAGTCAGGGGGTTGCGTCCGAAACCGCCCCCCATGGAGTGAAAGAGAGGAACTGGAACCAACAAGGTTATTGATCCTCAAAAATAAGTTGTCCGGTCAGGCACATTTCTGGGGGACAGGGCCATGGCTAAGTATGCAGTGCCAGTGGCTGCCCGCGTTTGCAATTAGGCTGTGGCAGGTTTGGTAAGTTAATGTAAGATCCATGATTTCAGTAGGACAAATGGAAATGGATGATCCCATCCCTGACGTAAGCCTTGGTTCACACTGCAGTGGGCAGTGAATGTGCCTGACCCGTGCATAAGGCGGTCAGCCAAACAAACCCTTCCCCCGGTTTGTCTCAACTAGGCAGGCGGTCAATAACTCCGATTGCGGGGCAGGCGAGAAAATTGCAGGCGGAACCGATAGGAATTACTCAGTATTCTTCCAGAAGACGGCGGCGGGCGGAATATGATTCATACTCACCATCCATCCATCCACCCTCTTGAATCTTCTTCCCTCTCCCCCCACCTTCTTCTTTCCCATCAATTTTCCCCCTGTCCTGTTTTTCTCTCTCCCCCCCCGCTCTGGGGCCTCATCTATCTGTCTCTATCACCTCCACCTTCAATCATTGACTTGAATTCGATTGCCTCACCATGTCGACTCCCCTCCTCGTCTCGTACGACCCCGCCGCCGCCTCCACCGGCGGTTTGTCGCTGAAGCAGATCGCCTACTTCGGTCGCGTTCTTATCAAGGTTTCCAGCCTCGCTCAGGCAGAAGAGTTCCTCAAGCGCAACTTCCGTCTCCTTGATGTCTACGTCGATGCCACTGCCATTGCCTCCTCCGGTGACTTGGTCGACATCCTCAACGCCGGTGCCGCCAAGATCTTTGTCACACTCAACCAGTTGACCACCCTGTCCGAAGAACAGTCCGGACCCTCATCTCGGGTCGTCGCCATTGCCTCCGAGAGCCAAATCAATGCCTTCCAGTCGTGGATTGGCGGGTCCGCCGAGCGCCAAGAGGCTGGTCTATCTACCGATGCCTCTGCCATCAAAACTCTGGCTGAGCAATTGAACGTCAACCTCGAGGCTCAGAACCTTTATCGCACATACTCTGGCGCTGTCACTGAGGAGGCCCTGAAGGACACTATCGGTCAAGGAGGTGTCTGTATTGTTCCCGCCGACGCTCTGACCTTCGACCACCAACAACCCAACGGCAAGATTGTCGCCGCCTCTTTGGTCGCCGCTCGCGCTGTGACCGACCAAAGCAACGGTCTTTATGCAACCACCGTCACCGATGAAAGAGGAATTTGTTTGGGACTGGTTTGGAGTAGCAATGAAAGCATTGCAGAGGCTCTTCGCACCGGTACGGGCGTCTACCAAAGCCGTAAGCGTGGCTTGTGGTACAAGGGTCAGTCCAGTGGAGATGTGCAAGAACTGATCCGCATTGGTTTCGATTGCGACAGCGACTGCTTGGTCTTTGTTGTCAACCAGATTGGTAGAGGTAAGTCTATCCACACCGCATATGTCGTTCTCGCCTAACCATAAATAGGTTTCTGCCACTTGGGTGCCCCGAGCTGCTTCGGACCTTACAACGGCCTCGCTCGTCTGCAAAAGACGCTGCAGGCTCGCAAGGCCGATGCTCCCGCTGGCTCCTACACTGCACGCCTCTTCAACGAGCCCAAGCTCACTCAGGCAAAGATCATGGAGGAGGCTGATGAGTTGTGCCGTGCCAACACCAAGGAGGAGATTGCTTTCGAAGCCGCCGATCTGCTTTACTTTGCCCTGACTCGCTGTGTCGCTGCTGGTGTCAGCCTTGAGGACGTGGAGCGCAACCTTGATCTCAAGAGCTTGAAGGTCAAGCGCAGAAAGGGTGATGCCAAGGGCCCCTGGGCGGAGAAGGCTGGCTTGACCGCCGCCACCACCGAGTCGAAGCCTGCTGCCCCTGCTGCCCCTGCTGCCCCTGAGCCGGCTCCCAAGAAGGTTGATGATGAGCCTCTTCAGATGACTCGTGTGATTACCGCCTCGACTCCGGTTGACCAGGTGAAGGAGTATCTCAAGCGTCCCTCCCAGAAGTCCAACGATGCGATTGTTGCTCTCGTTCGCCCCATTATCCAGGATGTCCGCGAAAATGGCGATGCCGGCGTGCTCAAGTACACCCACAAGTTTGAGAAGGCTACTTCCCTGACCTCTCCTGTCATCCGTGCCCCATTCGCACCTGAGCTGATGAAGCTGTCCCCTGAGACCCAGGAAGCCCTTGACATCAGTATTTCCAACATCAAGAAGTTCCACAGCGCTCAGAAGGGCAGCCCTGAGGGCCTCAAGGTTGAGACCATGCCCGGTGTCGTGTGCTCTCGTTTCTCGCGCCCCATTGAGCGGGTTGGTCTCTACATTCCTGGTGGAACGGCGGTTCTGCCGTCCACGGCCATGATGCTGGGAGTTCCTGCCATGGTGGCTGGCTGTGAGAAGATTGTTCTCGCGTCTCCTCCTCGTGCCGATGGCAGCATCTCTCCCGAGATTGTCTATGTTGCTCACAAGGTGGGTGCCGAGAGTATCGTACTCGCTGGTGGTGCCCAGGCGGTTGCGGCCATGGCGTACGGCACTGAGAGCGTCAGTAAGGTGGACAAGATCCTGGGACCAGGGAACCAGTTCGTCACCGCGGCCAAGATGTTGGTCTCCAACGACACCTCCGCTGGTGTCAGCATTGACATGCCCGCCGGTCCTAGTGAGGTGTTGGTGATTGCGGACAAGGATGCCAACCCGGCTTTCGTGGCTTCTGATCTTCTCAGCCAGGCCGAGCACGGAGTGGACTCTCAGGTTATCCTCATTGCCATCGATCTGAATGAGGAGCAGCTCCAGGCTATTGAGAAGGAGGTTGACATCCAGGCCAAGGCTCTTCCTCGTGTCGACATTGTGAAGGGCTCCTTGGCCCACTCGGTCACTTTCGTTGTGCGTGACCTCGCCGAAGCCATGGCTTTGAGCAACGAATACGCTCCCGAGCACCTGATCCTGCAGATTCAGAACGCTGAGGCCGCTGTGGCGAGTGTGAAGAACGCCGGAAGTGTGTTTGTCGGACAGTGGACTCCCGAGAGCGTGGGCGACTACTCTGCTGGCACAAACCACTCTCTTCGTAAGTTTATCCTTCTTTCTCCTGGAAGCAATGGCTAATGATTCGCAGCTACCTATGGATATGCCAAGCAGTACTCTGGGGTGAACCTCGGATCTTTCCTCAAGCACATCACCAGCTCTAACCTGACCGCTGAGGGTCTTCTGGGTCTGTCTCGTACGGTGGAGCAGCTGGCTGCGGTTGAGGGTCTCGATGCGCACAAGCGGGCTGTGAGCATCCGTGTGGCGCACATGAAGAAGCAGCAGCAGCAGTAGTTTGATGATGATGCGTAATGTTTCGTTTTCTTTAGCAGCTGGTTACGATCTGACGCGTGTAATATTGCAAGCATAGCCAATCAGAAAAGTATGATTCCCTTGTGACGATCAATGTACAATATGAAGAACATTTGGTATCTCGGACGCCTGGCGATCTATAAACCCACTTGAATAAGAGAACAAAAACGGGGCAACTTTTCCGTCCCAACCCATGCAGTGACAAGCAAGCGATATGAAATCATCAATCATGTAGCAGCGATTGAAGAGACAGACAACAGACGCAGGGCAAATCACCGCTTGCGCTCGCGGATCTTCCACTTGACACCATTCTTGTTCGTGCCTCCGACAACATTGTCCATGCGGCCCCGCTGCCAGTCCAGCTCGCGGGCTGCGGCCGTAATCTCCTTGTACTGCTTCTGCAGGGCCTTGATCTTGTTGTCTCTGGCCTCCGTGGCGCGCTTCTTCATCTTGCGGGCGCGCCTGGCCTCGACCAGCGCCTGACGCTCGGCCTCGATTTGCTTCTGCGACTTCTTCTGCTGTTGCTTCTTGCGCTGACCGAACGAGTCATCATCTTCGTCACTTTCGGAGTCATCCTCCTCCTCTTCCAACCGTAACAGCCTCTCCCGCTTCAAGTCCTTCTGTTCATCCCGATCTTCCGCAAAGACCACCTTCCTCGACTTCCCCCCGGAGATCATATCATCTTCTTCTTCATCCTCATCCCCAAAATCGAAATCGAAATCCATATCATCATCGAACCCATTAAACTCATCATCACCTCCCTTCTTCTCCTTCGTCTTCCTCTCTTTCTTCTCCTCCTTCTCCCCAAGCGCCGCCTTAACCCCGTCTTGCACCTGCACCTCCTCCTCCAGCCGCCCCAATTGCCGACGGATCCTCTCCCCCTGCGTCCGGAGGTACCCCGCGTCCTGCGTCTTGAGCAATTTGATAGCATCGTGGCTCAAGCCGCGCGCCGCGGCCGAGTCCCGCACGCCCGTGCCGTGACGACCCTGCCGCGCCGTGTGGCTGGAGAGCATGCCGAAGTTAAATTCATCGGGGTTGCGGTCGCGGACTTTCTCCTGGAGGCGCTTGAGCTTGGCCTTTTTGGCGTTGTAGTCTTTGGCGCGGAGGGAGTAGTCCTATTTTGTTGGAAAAGAATTAGTATTGTGGGGAGTAAGCCTGAAGGGAAGGCTGGTTTACCTTGTGCTTCTCAAGGATACCCCATTTTTCGCGGCCTTGGAGTTGGCCTCGCTCCTTGTGGTTGCGCCGTTGGACGGCGTTGCGCATGGTGGACATTTTGATCTGAGGTGGGTGAACCGGTGGACCGGCTTTCTTGCTCAAAGTCCTCGAGGAGAAAAGAGAATGGATTGGGAAGGAACAAGCAGACGAGACGGAGGGTCTGGATCTGATACGGAGGTTGTGATGGATTGATAGACCAGACTATTCAAAAAAAGTCGGCGGGCAGGCGGAGGGCGGAGAGACTAAACTGTTTTGGGATCAGTCCACCCGGTTTGAACTTTGTCCGCAATCCAAGCTCCAAGCTGCGGTTGTCATTGACTGTGAGAACTTGGGATATTGATCTGGTCGCGTGGCTAATTGACTCTTGGATTCTGTTCTGGTTGCTCGGATTCAATACACGGCCGTTGGTGTACCTACATGAGTTGAATCTCAACTACTTGACTACCTCACCACCCTCCCCCCCATCACCCCCGACAGACACACAGACAGACAGACACGGACAATCAACGCATTGATCGACCAACGCTACTACTACATCGTGCAACCCATTGAACTCCAACCACTCAATCCGATCCCACACCTATCCTTTCTTCCTCCTGCTCACTCGCCTCACTTACGCCCTCAATTGCAAAGCTCAAAGACCTCCACCAAAATGACCACCCCAAAATACAACCTCCGCAATCCCCTCCCCCTCTCCGCCACCCAAGAAGCCGAAGTCAAACAAATATACTACAAGCGCGTACGAGGCCACTGCGCCCCCGAGATCAAGGGTACGAGCCTGCTCCTACCACCTTCCGAATCCCCAATTGAACCACTCCCTCCCCCGTCCCCTTTATCAAGAATCCGAATCCCAGCAAAGCAATCCTCTCCCCTAATTCCACCCCCCCCCCCCTCCCCCCAAACAAAATCTACAGCGCTAATGATTTGATATGTGTACAGCCTTCGCCGAATGCGCCGTCAACCGCACGGTAACAGCCACCTGGGTGTGCCGGGAGCAGCGGCTGGCGATGAACTCGTGCATGGTGGCGCACGCCAAACCGGAGGAGGAGGACCGGGCGCGGGAGGAGTGGTTCGCGACGCACGAGGAGCGGCGGCGCGCCGAGCAGGCCAAGCTGGATGCCGTCGAGGAGCGGCGCGCGCAGGTCATCTCGATGATGCGGGCGGATGATGAGCGGAGGCGGCGCCAGGAGGAGGAGAAGCTGCGGCAGCAGCAGAAGTAGGATGCGCCCGGGGGTGTATGTTCTTTCTTGATTTGTGTTAGTTGGTGGGGTTTAGGATGAGCAGTGGATTGAATTTTGGAGCTGCTGGAGGTCAGTTCACACCATTGGAGCTGGACGGGGGCAGGGGTGGGCAAGGGGATGCATGAGATATGCGAAGTCTCGGGCTCTCTTCATGGGCGTTATGTTTTTTTATTTGTTTATGCTGTATGATATGGCGTTTATCTTTTCTTTTTTTTTTTTTTTTTTTTTTTTTGTTTGTCTGGTCGTTCTATGCAGGTTACCTTTTAGAAAGCATATTTGTACATGTATAGTATGGACCAGAGAGTGGCTGAGGGTTCGAGGATTCAAAAGTGGCCGGGGAGCAGAAGCTGAAGTCGTGATGATTATAGATATGGTATAGAACCTGACCTCTCTCCTCCTCGAAATTCGATAAACCTAGTCTCACGCCGAGCGCCAAAACACCATCCATATCCACCCAACCCCCAAACTAAACATCCGTCATATCCTTATCCCCATCATCATCCTCCCCCATGGCCGTATCCTCCCCAAACACATCCTCCATCTTGCCATCCTCATCCTCATCCTCACCATCCTCCTCTTTCTTCACCCCAGTAACCCCATTCTCCCTCGCACCGCCCGACGTCCCATCGCCCCCGAAATCCCCCGGTTGCTCCATCTCCACCTCCTCCTCCCCTTCACTCTCCCACTCCTCCCGCAGATTCCACCCGTTACCCGTCAAGCAGAACCGCTCCGGCGGCAACCGCAGCCCACCCATCAGCACACTGCCCTGGCTGCCCGCCACCACCTTCGAGTTGCCCTGCTGATCGAACCCGCGGCTCGCGCCCGGCAGCGCCACGCGGTTGCGCTCCGCCGCCACATCCATGAGGAATTCCTTGGGCAGGCCGGACTGGAACTGGTAGTGCAGCCGGGAGGCGATGCTCAGCCGCAGCGCCGGCAGGCTGACGCTGTTGACCTCGGGCGGGCCGCGCGCCGCCGCCCCCGTGTCCGTCGTCGCGCCCGCGTAACCCTCCGTCGCCAGGTGGACCGCGTCCTGCAGCACGCTCGAGGTGTAGCGGTAGGCGAAGTCGAGGAGTTGGAGCGGCACGCGCTCCTGGTAGGCCGTCACGCCGAGGCTGGCCAGGAGCATGTGGATGAGGCGGACATCGCGCGGGCGGCGCGACTTGCCGCTGTCTTTGAGGGAGGTGGAGGGGATTTGGGTCGGTTGGTTGGGGGGTGCTGGGGTCGTCGAGGGGGCGGGTGCTGTGGTTGCTGTTGTGTTGGGATTGGCGGTGGTGGTGGCGGGGTTATTTGTCGACGTCGACGTCGTCGTCGTGTTGTTCATGGTGTTCATGTTGGAGGCCGCGTTGGGGGTCGATTGGTGGTGGTCGGCTGGAGGGGTGATTGGGTGGTTGGTTGTGGGTGCGCCGGGATTGGAAGGGTGCGAGGGTGAGGCCATGTCTGAGGGAGAAGATGGAATGGGGGAATTGCACTGAAGTCGTGCGGAGTGCTTTGCTGCTCTGAAGGCGCGCTGTTGTACGGAGTACTGTACGTAGGAGAGGAGCGTGCGGAAGTGTCGCCTACCGCCTTGCGGTGGGTGTCTGAGGAGGTTGAGCTAAGTGCGACGGGTAAGAGAGCGATGAGGAAAGAGTGAAGCAAGCGGCAATCAATGAACAATCTTAAACATTATCATTCCGCGATCGATCAACGGCCCGCCAGAAATAAACTCCTGTCGTTGAGATTGAGGTGGAAGGATGGATGGATGGATGGATGGACAGGCTGCAGTCTGCAGTGCCAGAGGGAAGCAATTAATTGAATCTGGAAAGTGACTGGAACGGGATTCTTCCCGCCACGCTAGTCCCGGTCCGGACATCGGCTCGCCCACTGCACTCATTCGAAGTATACCTTGGTATCATCTCCGTGCCTCAAATCACCAGGCAAGAACACTAACTAAAGTGGTGGTGGCCTCTAAGTCCACATCTCCTTTGTCCTTATGTTCATAGAGCTATTACTCCACAAGTGTTTTAAACCATAACTCTGACTAGACTAGACTATGCATCCTTGCAACGCCTCAATGCTGCTCTATAAACAAACACCCCTATGCAAGCTCTATCTATACCATCACAGCTCGAAGCATCGGCGACAATCGTCCTCAGACGGGGTATCGAGCGTGTTTCACGCTAATCATTGCCCACCGATTCAACAACAACGCCGACAACGCTTCAACGAGACGGTGACCTTGGGGGAGACCCTGGAATGGCACTGACAGCTCTCACTTTCTCCTCTTTGGGGACAATGTGGTGGTCATCCGCCAATTCAGATCCGTCCACAGAGTCTTGCGATATATAACTGGCGCCAAGGTCCTCCTCTTCATCAATCTCCTCCTCATCCAGTGCCTCGCTGCCATCGTCGCTGATCTCGCCGTCGTACTCCTCATCTTCCTCAAGTTCTTCGTCCTCGTCCAGCTCCTCCTCTTCTTCCTCATCCTCATCCTCTTCGTCCTCCTCTTCGGCTTCCTCCGGTTCCTCGTCTTCGGCTTCACTATCTGTACATGAGAACGCCTCGAGGTCTGGCGGGGGTTCACGCCAATACGTGAAATCGGTGTACTCCTCGCCACCAGCCTGAACCAGCAAACTGACAGGCGGGAAGAAGTGGTCAAGCAGCTCTCCCATCGAAACGTAACTGCTCTTGTATTTGTTCAAACTGAGAAGGTCCAACGACACCTCCGTATTTGAGTTAATTGTGAAAATCCGTGTAGAAGGGATATTTACCGAGCGGTAGCTTAGCGCGTCCGTCAGGCGATTGCCGAACCCGGCGTAGAATGGGTTCTCCTTGCCATTGAACAAATTCAGGATGTCTCGCAAGCACGCCATCTTGAAGACTTCGGGCTTCCGAAGGTAGATCTCCCGTCGAAGTGCTGCCATGGTCCTGTCCGGACTCATGATAACTGGACCCTTGGGGAGTCGGTAGCCATCCTGGCACACTCCATATAAATAGGCTCGCGTAGTGTCGGCCTGGCCGACGGATCGACTAGTAAGGTACATGATGTTGTAGCCGTTATTCACGATGTCTGTGTACAACTTGGCGACTCCAGCATGTGTCCAGTCTCGTCCGATCATGTTCAGCACGTGACCCAAAGCATCAGACCTATGACGTTTAGTGGGAGAAAGGCCGATGGCACGAGGTTTATACTCACTTAGTAATGGTCCCGTCAATGTCCGAAATCACAATCGGCGTGTTGCCATTCCACAGATACATGTTTGCGGTGCAGGTTGCTCGGTTCACACTGAACGACATGTTGTTGGGCCCAGGTTTTAGTTTCAAAGCCTTGAGCTGGTCGCTGGTCAATCGTAAAGTCTTTGCGTAGTTACGTGTGGGTTCCAAGGCAAGGGAATCTTGACTAGGCGACTGTGGCGGCGTAGGAAAGCCAGGTTGCACGTCTGATTGCGTCCGATAGTGACGGGCCGTCACTGCCTTGTCATGGATGGACGGATCGCTATCGCTATGGTATCCCGGGTCAGAGATGGCATTTTCACTCATGGCCGACCCCGGTCGCATTGTGTTGAACGTAGCCCGACGATCGGCAGCCTCTTTGGCCTCCTCGCTGCTATAGATCCATAGATTACCGTGCTCATCTGCCCCGATAAGGGCTCCGATGTCGTAATTGCCCTCCAATTCTTCGGCAAGAATCTTCCGAGCAATGACCTCCGCCCGCAGCGCATCTTCCTCGCTGCTCTTGTAGCCCGTCATATCCAGCATCAAGTCTCCAGTCTCCGTTACGCGAGATGGGATGTTCGACCCGGACAGCTTCTTCGACAGCGATTCGGCTCGAGACATCACTTCCTCGAGCGACAACGGCGGAGGGCTGCGGGATCGTCCATCCGGAGTGGTTTCATCGCCTAAGACATGCACAGCATACGGCTGGTTCGTCACCCCAATACTGTTGGATCGGTTCTTCGTCAGAAGCACGCTATCGGTGGCCATCCGGTCAATCTTGGCAGGCCCCTCGCTGAAGGAGCCGTGGCGGGACCGGCCCATGGTTGAATCGTTATCCGGTGATCGCGAAAGAGGTGTAATGGTACCTGTGAGGCCATCAGTCGTTGTTCAAGTACAAGTCCCTCCTCAACGTACCCAGGTCGCTGGATGCCCGCATCCCCCTGGACAATATTGGGAGTTCGGCCGATGACTTCCCATCGGCTCGGTTTTCAGTGGGCGACGGAGATCGATCGAGGTCTAAATACTCCGGTTCTGACAAGGAAGAGGAAATGTTCTCTTCGCTGCGCATCTTAGGACTGCTGGTAGGCGAAACTAAGGGTGACGTCTGCAGCGAGGCGGGAATCTCGGCAGTTGTTTCGAACACGAAAAAAGCCTCTCCGCCCTCACCCAGCTTCATCGCATAGTCCTGTTTAGCGCCATTCACGGAGAATTCCACCTAACAACATCTTAGCCATGATAGCTGGACAGTGGATGCGGGCCGGCGGTACCTTTTTCTCGTACGGGCGGAGGAGAGAGAACTTGCCGAATCGAACATGGAATGGAGAACAAGCCAACGTTCCTGCGGCAATTTGCGATTAATAATTTATGCGATGCACCGAAGAGCAGGACAAACAAACCATCCTCTTGCTCGATCACAATGACATCGATTGCCCCGCTGAGGGTGGCTGGGTTGATGGAGTTCCAGGTCTTCGAGACGGAACCGCTGATGCTGCGGACGTATTGCATCCTGCAGGCTCAACAGGGGGGTTGTCCCTGGAGAAGTTTGAGTATATCCGAGAGAAAGCGATTGAGAAGAGAGATCTTTTTCAGAATCTCACCACCCAGGTGGGAGTAGGAGAGGGGTTGGAGGAGGAGGTGGTGGTCAGAGGCCGGGGGTGCAGGAATTGCCGCCTACTCGTACATACGTACGTCCCATGTGACAATGCCCGATAGACATGCCCCGAGGCGGGAGACAATACGTAGTAAGGAAGTAATGATAACGAGAGACGATAGTCACTCGCGCGACACTCGACTAAAACAATGAGAACAAGAACAACCAAGCGAGTGATACCTGTATAACCAGGTAGACAAGCAAAGAACGTATGAGGTTTTTCTTTTTAGAAAAGTTAAAGTTGAGAGTAAAAGGAAAAGAAGTAGAAGAACCGTCCGTCAGTTTTGCGCAGGCAATTGTTGGGAGAGGCTCAACCGCCCAACCGGTCGGCGTCATGTGCTTTTCAGCCCTTTCCTTGCCAGCAGCCAGCAAACTCAAGATCCAACATTCCTCGGCTTGGAACGGGCGCTAGTCCCGCTTTGGACGCCTAGACCAGTCGCACAAGATCTGCACGCTGACTCAGCTAAATCTGAAGCCGCCAGCAGCAGCCTTAAGGGTACAGAGGGTGCAGTCATGTGACCGAGACTCCCCACTGGGTCGGCAGCCTCCGCGGAGCATCGGATTAATTCCCCGAAGTCTCTCTCTCTCTCTCGCTGTCTTTGCTTCAATCCTGCCCGGCATCGCAGGACCTCTATTCGACCTTCCATCCTCCACGGCCCCCTCGCACTCCCAAACGTGCACGAGGTCGCTGCCACCCTCACTTCCTGTCTCCTCCTCCATGGGTCGTGGACGCTGGGATGTATGAGCCATTGCATCTCTCCTTCGACGCCTATCCCAGCGTGGTTCCCCGAGTCAGGGTTCGAGGCGTTATGGCTCTCTTCCTAGCTGTCACAATTCTCTGGGCCCTGGTCTGGTGAGTAGCCCGTCAGAGAGTTTCGCAGATGGTATCTCGGTTGGACTAATCTTGTCTCAAGGCTGCTCTACCGTGCGTGGCAGGTCTGTCAGACGCCCAACGAAGTTCTTGTTGAAAAGCTGGGACTCGACATTCCGCCACCCCCGGAAGTTACACTAGAGGAGATTGCAGCGCGTGAGATTCGGATAGCCTGGAAACAACCGGAGTTCCACAACTCGATCCACAAGCATATCATTCAGCTAAATGGTGCCAAAGGTAGTTCTCGTCTAGAGATCATCGTCCCTTCTTTCTCTGGTGCGGCTAACATCTTTTAAGTGGGCGAATCGAAACGAGCGGAGACTGCTGTCGAAATTCTAAACTTAGTCCCTGGAAGTATTTACCATATTTGTGTGCTCTCAGTCAGCGCCGCCAATTTTCAGACACCCAGCGCAATCATTCATGTGCGCACGAAATCTCTACCTCTCTCCCAGTCGCAGCAGAATGCGCCGGTCGGAAACCCTACCATCCGGGCCTCGATTCCCCGATCGACTGCAGGCCTGGCCGCTCCCGCGGCGCCTGTGATGGCGCGTGAGCATAGCGGAGGACAACTTCAGGCGAAGCGATCCACGGCCGGGCGGAAGCCATCCCCTGCAGCTAGCACGACCGACATCGCTCACTCCAGTGCCGAAGATTTGCACAAAAGTACCGCCAATGACGATCATGATGAAACACTGGAGCAGCTTGCCGATCGATTGAAATCCCTGCAGCAGGAAAATGAAACCGTGGAAAAGCAGACCGCCGACGAAGAAGAGGAGCACATCGCTTTATTGAAGGAACTGGAGAAGCAGCGTGATGAGCTGAAGAAGCGAGTGAAGGAGAAGGATGAAGCCAGCGGCGACTTAAAGAAACACGTCTACAAGTTGGAAAGCGTCAACCGCACTGTGCAAAGTGAAAAAGCTAAGCGTGAAAGACTCCTGCAGCAGAAAGAGTCCGAGCGAAAGAAACGAAAGGCCGACATCATTCGGTGGCAGGAGCAGGTTGAAAGCATGGCCCGTGAAGCTGCTGAGTCAAGAGAGGAGAAGGCTCGAGTCGAAGAGGAAGCGAAACAGCGTGCAGATGAGATTCGAGAGAAGATCAGTAAGGAGCAGTCGGAGATGAAGGTCATCGATGACGAGATCCAGGACAAGGGCGGCCGTGTCAAGAAACTTGAGGATGAAAGGAAGACTCACCAGGAGGCCGACAGTGAGGACGGAAAGGAGTTGGACAGAATTGACAATGAACGAGCACGGCAATGGGATGTCAAACTGAGCAACCTTCATGCTCGCTATGCCACTCTAGTCAGCCTTCATGCACAGGTTAGTTTGCTCGAAGCCACCATTTTGCTACCACGCACACTGACCGTCTCTCAAGGCGCAGCAACAGTATCAAGAGGCCCAGGAACGCTTGAAATGGCTCACAACCCAGCGAGGCGGCAGCACAGGACCCTTTACTCTCCCAGCTCTCGATTTGGATCTCTCGAATACCGCAACCATCCGTCCCCGTCGGCATCGCAGTTCGCTTACCAGCAATGTCTCTTCGCCCATGAACTATACGTCCCTAGAGCCAACATTCTCCAGCAGCCTTGGCTATAACCCTCCCGTTACCAGCTCACCTACTTTTGGACCAACCTCCGCTTTTTTCAACATCACGAACGGAATGACTCTACCGAGTTTGACTAGTCAATCTGACTCCCTGCATGGCTATCCAGCAGATCAGATATCTCTCGGTGCCCCTCAAATGAGCCCTCGCGCAGACGCCTTACTACCTTCGGATCTTCTTGGCGACGAGGAGTCGCCTGAGCTTCCTCGTCCGGTCATTCGATCTCGTTTTCCCAACCTTGAGCAACCGGGCACCCAGCTCGAATTTCCCCACGGCCCGCCGTCGCCAGATTCACCCAACAACAGTCGTCCAGCAAGCCTCTTCGCCAGCCCTCATGAGAGCCAACCTCATTCTATCGACGTCGAGCCTCAACCCACGAATCTAGGGGAAGCAGGCGAAGCGCCAAAGAGTGCCTCGCGGCGACTGTCTGGCCTCTTTGGCTTCCATCGTCCTCGCGGTAAAACTCTTGCCGATGAACCGCCTTTGCTGGGCAGTCTGAAACCAGGACAGAGTCAGTCATTCCCCCGTAATGTGGATGAAATGGATCCCATTGGTGCTAGACGTCGTCGGCTGAGCTATACAGGCAATTGGGCCAATCCAATGTCATTGTTCCCTCGAAGCAATACAGCCGGTGCCACAACTGACAGCTCGTCGGATCACCATCCATCTCGTCGCACTGCGTTTTCGAGCATCTTCTCTCCCAGTAGATTTGGCTTTGGCAGTGGTAGCAGCTTGCTCAAGTCCGGCGAGAATGCGGATCTCAGCACGGGATACAACCAATTCAGCCCCCGGCATGATCCCATCGATCCCGCTACAATTCTCGGGAAAGTGCGACGAGAATCATTATCTCCGAGGCCGTCTTCGACCTTCTCGTTTGACAATCACCTTCCCCATCCTTCGACAGATAATAGGCACTTTGGCTGGCCGTCAGCTGAGAAGCCTGGCCACCGTAGCCCCTTGGGATTTGATTGGGCATCCCCTTCAACCTGGTCAAGGGTTCAATCCCGCCGACCATCAATTCAGTACGGATCTTCTGGTCACCTGCCTTTAAGTCTGACCGGTGAGCCCGATTTTCTCCAGGACTCGGCTTTCGAGCGACAAGGACGCCCCTTGCAGGCTCCTATTGGCACCCGACCATCGTCTTCACATCGACCGGTTACTCCAAAGCTGAATCCTGCAGCGCCTTCGTTCAAGGCCATCTTTTCTTCCGGGAAGAAATCCGATAAGAGTAAGGAGAAAGACAAGGGCAAGGACCGGGAGTTAGAGGCACCGTTTGATTTCCCTATGGACGAGGGCTCTCCCTCGGAGTCGCGGGCTTCCCGGGATTCACGTTCTCTGTCTGCCCTCACCGGCGATTCGTATGAATCACTGGAGCGAATGCTTTCTGGGGGTTCGTTGGACAATGCCAGCTCGAAGGAGTCATTTATCCGCAAGATCACCCGTAAAGGGAGCTCGAGTAAATTCAGTTCATGGAAGGATCGGTCTGGTCTTTTTTCCAAGCGGGGTGACACCGCGCAGGGAGATATCGATGAGGATGCCCACGGTGAAGGGCTACTTGCCAAGAGCATTGACAGCACTGTCTCGAGCGCACCCTCTGCGGATAGATCAACGCGCAGCAGCTTGGGTTTCTTCAGTCGGATGTCGAGGAAGTCAGCTGCCAGCGAGACGAGCGAGCGTCCTAGCGAACAGGCTAGCGAGGCAGACGAAGATTCCGAGGAGGAGGATCATCATCATTCTTGATCATACTGCAACCACATACTGCGTCGTGCAGCATTCATTCTCTCACTTTTCCTATCCATAGATCAAGAATCAGTCAGTCACTTGTCATTTACTTTTTTTGACCTTTCCTAGCGCTGTAAGCTTCAAGGTTGGTGGTCATCATTTTTCAGTCTTTTCAGTCTTTCCTAGGCATATTTGGATTGCACATAATAATTTACCTAAATGCATTCATTTATTGATTATATCAAGACAATATTCCTGATACAAAGACAGCGATAGATAAACGAGCTCAGTATGTGTAAAGCCACTTCAACACTTTTTCCAGAGTGTCATTCGATATGTGTAGTGTGCTGTTGTATTCAAGGTTGCCGTTGCGCGGATAAAAAAGAGGAACCGCAAGCCTCCCCCACCACGCAAATCTTCATCCCACCTTCAATTCCACCCTCGGCGGCTACATCCTCATCATACATAGCCTTTCCCCATGAATATCTTATACCTGCTTCCGTAGCCGTAGCATACTCTCTCCTAGCGTCAATATGGCAAATTCCAAGTACCATTCCCCCCAAATCTCACCCTGACATCTCTTCCGCGCTAAAGCCTTTCACAGATACGAGTATGTCAAGTCATTCGAACAACCCGATGTGTTGCTTCCCAACACATGGATTGTCGTTCGAATTGACGGTCGAGGATTCCATAAGTCCGTTTACTCTTTTATATGTCTCTAAGCTCATTACCTCCGTGGTAATGTGCAACGACCACCCCCGGTCCAGTCTCTGACCCCATTCCAGACTCTCCGATCGCTACGGCTTCGTCAAGCCCAACGACCGTCGGGCTCTAGATCTTATGAATGCCGCCGCCGTGGAGGTCATGAAGGAGCTTCCCGATCTATGTCTCGCCTACGGTGTCAGCGACGAGTATAGGTACATTGCACCTCTACCTGCCGCCGAAGCATGGCATTGTACTAACCCTCTTCTTCTAGTTTCGCATTCCACCCCAGCTGCCAATTGTTCGAGCGGCGAAGCGCGTGAGTTCCATCATTCCATTCGTCTTCTGGGAGCAGTAGTAAGGCTCATCATCTATTGTTGGATGACTAGCAAACTGGTCACGACCATCGTGTCGACCTTCACAGCATACTATATCTATCTTTGGGGTACATATTTTCCCAATACGCCGCTGCAGCCTGCAGCTCTTCCTTCTTTCGATGGGCGGGCGGTCATGTATCCTAGCTCGAGGATCTTGAGAGATTACATGAGCTGGAGACAGGTGGATTGTGAGTGCAACCCCTCATGTTTTGTCTGGCGGAGTATTAATGAGTGAGTCAGGTCATATCAACAACCTGTATAATACGACTTTCTGGACCATGGTCCTGCAGGGTGGTATGAGCAATACGGATGCGGAGCAGGAGCTGAAGGTAAGCCCGATCTCTCGTGGGATAGTTGATGGCGAGGTTGATGCTTATGGGCATGGTAGGGCACTGTCTCGTCGGATAAGAACGAGATTTTGTTCAAGCGATTTGGGATCAACTACAACAATGAGGATGAGATCTATAAGAAGGGCAGTGTGATTTATCGCCAGGTACGTTTCGGTTTCTGTTGTGAATCAAAGTCTTCGGCTAAGTGTCCGCGCAGTATCAACTCGAGGACGCACAGCCCAAGTCAGGGACAAGCAATGCAGAGGAAGAGGAGGATATTCCAAGCGCTCCGGCTTCGCGATCTCAGCAGGATAAGATCCGCAAGTTGCGTCGGAAGGCGCAGGTGGTCGTCGACCATGTGGATATCATCAAGGATGAATTCTGGCAGCGTCGGCCATGGATCCTATCGGGCAGGCCGGGGAAATTACCTACGGAGGCGCAATAGGCTGGGTCATGTTTGATAGAGTCAGAAACAATGCGTTGATTGATGTATGTCAAAGCCAAAAATTTTACGAATCCAAGAACCAAGCAACAAGCCATGGGTATCTGTAAGAAGTCTAATCTAAGTATATATCCCACCTTCCGGGGGGGTGTCATTCCGCCGCTTGGGACTTTTTCGACTTTTTCGGTGCCTCCTCTGTCGGCGCCTCCTCTCGCGTCTTCCTCTTCTTGCTCTCTTTTGGTGTCTTCTTCTCCTTGTTCTTCTCGTCCTTGCGGTCCTTCTTCTCCTCCTTGGTCTTCTTCACTTTCACACCAGCCTCCGCCTCATCCGTCTGCTCCTGTTCCTGCTCCGTCATCGGCGGCGTAGGGTAATCCTCATACTGGGGCCGCGGCGCATCCTCCTCGCCCTCCTTCCGCCGCTTCAACAGCTTAGCGGCCGCCTTCTTCTCGCGTCTGAGTTTCCGATCCGCTCTGCGCGCCTCCCTCTCCTCCTTTCGCTTCTTCTTCTCCTCCCGCTTCACGCGTCTCTTTTCCTTGCGCTTCTTCCGCTCCTCTTTCCGGACCTTTCTCTCCTCTTTCGTCTCTTTCTTCTTCTCCTTGCGTTTCTTCCCATTTTTGTCGTCGTCATCCTCATCATCATCCCCTTCCCTCTTCCTCTCCCCGTTGGCCCCCTCCCCATCATCCTTGTGTTTATCCCCAAGAGTCCCCGCAACGACCTCCCCGCGCACGAAGAAGCGGTACAGCTCGCTCGTCAGCGCGTTGGGCGTGCGCGCGTCCGCGGGGGTCCGCCGCTCCTCGCCGACCCCCTTCAAGGCATCCTCGAACCCACGCAGCCACCACTGGTTCGTGGGGTCCTTGGTGGTCTTGTTGCCCACGCCCGAGTTACCCTTCCGGCGGGCGACAAGGATGGGCCGCGTCAGGCCCAGGCCCGAGGTGGCGCCCGGGCGGGCGTTGGGGTTCAGCGGGTTGCCGGGGCCGGACCAGCCCAGTTTGAGGAGGATGGCTTGTGCGTCCATTTCTTGTGGTGTGCTGTGGTGGAGAGGTAGTGGTGGTAATCAAGCGGGCATCTCTTGCGTCCTTGGGTGATTCGGGGCGTGGGGGTTGGGATGGTTTGGTTGTAATCGAATCACTCAGTAAAGTGAAAACTCGGCTGGCTGTTGATTATGGTGCGCGGGGTTCTGAGATAGAAAAGAAGAGAGAGATGAAAAGGAACCCAACGAAGATGCAGAGACGGAGGGAGAGAAAAATTATTTGAATTCCGCGCGGATAAGACCGAATGATAAGGCTAGCGATTTTGGCAATTTGTACTACCAATATTGTAGCAGGGCGGGTACTTTCAACAAGCGAGTCGCGTGGTCTAATGGTTATGATTTCTCGTTCACATCGCAAGAAGTGCTAGCTGACTTAGCGCCGAGAAGGTTCCCGGTTCGATCCCGGGCGCGACTATCTTTTTTTCTTTTCTTTTTTGGGGGCTTGGTTCGTTTCCTGTGCTGGTAGAGAGAGAGGTAAACTCGATTTATGGGTGTTTATTATTGTGTTATTTATCTTTTGTAAAGCATGGACGTGATTATGACGGCGATGAGTCCATCCCTTGAAGTTTGTATGGTCGTCATGATCCGGTAGTTGGGTAAGGTGATATATATACTTCCCCCGGTGCGGATGTACTGTACGCTACCCTCATGTGCCACAGTCGTGTTTGACCACCGACTCGCCTTTGGTTGTATACATGCTCAGGTCTCGCGATAGCATTCTATACCCGTATAAAATGTATCGGCAATTTGAAGTCTCAGGGGTGAGGTTATGGAACGTGTTCTTAATTCTCTTGGTGGTTGGAACTAACGTATCAACATGGGAAGCAACTTGGCAACGCGTTGCATCACGTGGCCGGATTACTCAGCTGCGCTGACAAAATGGTATCTAGCTACCACTGGAGCTATTTGCGGGGATTGCTCTCATTAACTACACTTCGAAAACACATTCTGGATTCTTTTTGTGTAGGACCGTCGTTACATATGTGATGTGGATTTGTATGGAGGTAACTTGATGCGTCGCTGATTTATGCAGAGCACTCTACCTCGCTAATCGTCTGGATGTCAACTCACCGGAATTGGTTAACTATATTGCCGCCCTGAAGCAGTGGGTTGGAGCCATCCTCCCGTGTGCACCCTCAGGCTTACAGTGGCAGACCTGCATGGCAGCGACCCGATAGTGCGGTCCAAGCCATGCAAAGAAGGCGTCACTAGCCCTCAATGTAGAAGCTGCGCACCCACCGACCCTAGTCCAAGCCTGATGCTCATTGTGCTGGCCGTGGAGGAACAAATATCTCAACCACCGTTCCACACACAGCTGACTATTCGAGCCATGCTCCCTTGAGTCTCGAAGATCCTACGTAGCACATGATCCTCGGCCGCCTCACAGATATACCATAATAGACAGGGTCGACCATTGCTCAGAGATTTAGCCCAAGCATGGCATCTAATGGTACCTCAACAATGGTCCGTCGGCTTCTAGAAAGCAAACCTCCACCGACACACCGTAGCTATATGTAGGTAGCCAGATCCAGTAATCCCACCAGCCCCACACTGCTAGGATAGAATTTCAACATGGCCGCACAGTGACACAGTCACATCACTATAACGAGCTTTGCTATACCCACGTCTCCCACAGTCACATAGAAGCCTCACCAATGAGTACATGTACATGTGTCACCGATATAAAACCACCACCGTGCACGAGAGCTACGAGCGAGTCATAAGCTCCTCCCCGAAGGTCGGAAGCCCCCATTCTCCTGATTCAGACTCCATCCCTAGAGTCCGACATTATTCATCGAGCATGCATGGGGTTCTACCGACTACAGCAGCTAGAGGTGAACTAGCACACGATCCGAGAATGGATATGCAGACGATGAATGCCCGCATGACACGGCTAGTCCCAGTAATCAGTATATCACAGTGTGTGATCATTAGAAGGCCCTGTTATAGGCCTAGGGCATAGCATGTGCATAATACTGAAGCGTCCCAGCAAGCATCAACAGGATTGGTCATGGTTCTTCTCGACTCAGGCCTGAGATCAGACCTCCTATCCCTCGCTCCGACGGCAGTGGGTTTAGTGGAGCCTCCATTTCTGACAACCCACAAATCAGCAGGAAGGGATTCGGTCGAGTTGGTTGGTCCTGAGTCGATGTCTCTCAAAACGACTAGTTTAATGCTAAGGGATGAATGTGTGATTATGTGTGCGTGAGGGGGTTTTGTGTGAATTGAACTGGAGGAGGCAGATGCCAGGCAGTTTTGCACAGTCGCAGCAATATAAGACCCCAAGAGACCCCAAGGATTTGCCGAGACTTTCTGTGCAATTTGCTCTCGGAACGAGGGGCTTGGAACAACAGCATTCATTGTCGTCAGTCTGGATGTTTGCCTTTCAGACACAGTGATCCACCCGCCGCTTGTCACCATAAATGATTCGGTGTGGGAGCATTAGTCAAGTCACGCGCTAAGTCATCCGGAGCGAGTGGTCGCTTGTCCTTCTCCCAATGCGACTAAATCCATGAGCGAGTGAGTGAGCGAGCGAGAGAGAGAGAGAGAGAGAGAGAGTGTGTGTGTGTGTGTGTGTGTGAGTTTTTTCAGAATGCAGCACGAGCATCTCGTACATGCTTTGCTGTGAGGGCATGAGGTTCATGGGAACCAGAGTTGAGTTAGTGGCCGTTCCGGTTGCTCGCTGAGTCAAGTGGTGATTATCACCGAGTAAAAGCGAGCAATGGGCCAGTCTAAGGAGAAAAGATCCACGCTGTTGGTGTTGAGCTTGGTGGGGGAAAGGGGAACGTGGAAAAGGAAAAAAAAAGGGCCTGGCCCCCAATCCCATTGTGGCTGGTGGTTCCTAGACCGATCACCATCTGTCCTGAGCGGGCATTAACTGCAACTGGAACGGCAAGAAATCTAGGGAAAACCGATCCATTGAACTTCGCTCAACCGAGAACCTATTCAAGATGATGATACCATCATGAGATCAACAACGAGCGAAAGAGAGACGGACAGAAAGGCAGAGAGGCAGAAAGAACAAAAGACAGAGGCGCCGCTCCCCACAACCTCGCATGAATCGTGGCAGGTTTGATAGGAGGAAAACGTGGTCGATTGGGATGCGGCTTGTAAGGCGCCCAGACCTCGGGGGCGCTCGTTGGACCCTGGAATAGGATCGATAACAATAAAGCAAACTGGAGGCGGTTTTGGACAGGGTAAAACGGCGCTTACCAATGACCTCTGATATGGTACCAAACTCTGAAGGCATGTATGCATGCCGCATGAGTGGCTGCAAGGCTGCTTCGAGTTTGTAAAAGGCGAGCCTCGGAAGAGACTGTTTTACTCCGCATGTACAAGTAACTTAAAAGTAACTTAAATAAATTAGGATGATTTACTCCAGGCTCAGCGCTCCATGTAGTTGCCTCGCTTGAATCCTGTACTGTTCCCAAGAAGGCAGGCAGTACCAAGCTCAGCTCCAGCTGAACAGAGAGCCCAGCCCAGATCACTCAATCTGACTCCGACTCCATGACTTTCCGTCAAGAGCAAGACAAACCAACTTCCATGCTTGCTTGGTTGGTTGACCGAGAACACCCAACAAATCACAAGTGCACGGGTGATTTCTCCGGAATTGACTTGTGCAGTGTGACTCGAGTGGAGACGGATTCATTAATGGTTTTCTACTATTGACCCATTCGCGAGGAAAGTGCAAGAGAAGAAACAAAACCCTGAGGGCGTCCAAGAAGACGATACCATATCGATTCGAGTGCTCCAATACTTTTTTTATCAGAACCCGTGGATGGATGTGTGCTTACGCGGCGCGTTGTCAGTGGTATTTTATCAAATTACCCAGTCTAACATATCGCTGAGCTCAAGGATTGACCACGGTAGCCAGCCACTCTTCGCGCCAGGATCGCACTGCAGCAAGCAAGAATTGCCACACACTCCTTCTTCCACCAGGAATGCATGATAGCAAGTCGATCTTATGGCTATCCTCTGCAGGAATCCAGAGTCTCAGCGCCAGCAGATAGTTTCTTTGGATGACCATTCATCAACCCGAGGGATAAAGGGTGGTTACGTCCTTGCGAAGAAATGGCAAAATCTCATGTCAGAAGCTTGACGAGGGGGCACGAAAGGCTAGATGACCCAAGACATGCGTGGTCGAACAAAATTTCTTGGGTGATATTAGTGGGGGCGGGGAACAGGACGAACGTACAGTATTGAACCGTTTAGACTTATAGTGACTCCAGTCCGTCCAGCGCATCGCAGCAGCATGCGGCAAACCACCCACCATGGACCCGAGAGTCTGGGAAGCGGTGTAACGATCAACACGGGATAGTCGAGCTTCTAAGCCTTAATTACATCGAGGTCACAAGGCAACTCCCCTCCGTCAATCGGACGCTGACCGGGGGGCCCGGCGCCAAGCGGGCGGATAACGATGGGCTCCCGGCTGTCGACCACGGAGGACAAGAGCAAGAACCTGCATATCTTGCATATGTAAACTGTACGCACTGCCTCCATGCATCGAGCTTAAGCAGCTGCGGCAAGCCAGAGGATGAGAGTGGCTTCCCGGCCTGTGCTCCCTGTTTCGCATACTTTGGATTCGTGTGTGTTACTACCCCGGACTGCAGGTCAGGCACCTCCATGGAAGTTTCATGGACCTGTGGTAGGCATAATAAGCTTCCAGGGTTAACTTATCTTGTTATCAGCTCCCAGGCGCCCACCCACCTGTCCCCTCATCACCCCTCCCTGAAAGACTGGATGTAACCTTAACTAACCCTGTCCGTGAATAAACGACACTAGACACGTCGGGGGAGACTAGAATGACGAGATGCTGAAAGTAAAACTCTAAATCCACACGGGACTTTTGGCCATGGGGCCAGTCAGGATCCTTCCATCCTGATCGTCATCGTCATTCCTTCGATATATCAGCACCACCGTGCTGGATCGGACTGACGAACATGAGCCAATTCTCCAGCAGAGCCCCTTCCCGAGCATGTTGTAAGTTGCCACTTGAAACGTGAACCCGAGCAGATCCTCGCTAAGAATGGGGAAGAGATCGACCCTGGTCTCCAGCTCGGAAGCGGATGCACGCAATGCCGTATGCGCGTATGCGCGTATGCGCGTATGGACTAGACCGATTCTCAATTCTGGCTGACAACCGTAGAAAATCTCAATCCTGTACGGAATAGACTAGTCTAGTCAGTGAGTTAGTGGGTACGTAGTTGGCGTCTTTTTTGGCTCGGGCGCTACAATACGGGCGAAAGCTGGCAGAGGGAGAGAGAGAAGCCCACGACCGACCGGAGCTGCGAGTCGAATCCTTCACCCAGCGACTTGGTAGACTAGATACCGCGATTTGTCTGACGCCGCTGGCTGGGCCTGCCTGAGAATGCTGGCACCCCACCGCCAATCGGCCGGAGATATTTTTGCGTGTAGTGTCAGTGGCCCAGTCGTCCGTAGTGTGGTCCAGTTGCCCGAAGTGGCTCACAGGGAAACTTTCCTTCATTCAACTAAGTGTGGGAGACGGTCCGCATCCCGCCCGAAAGTCACTTTGCCTAAAGTTCTTTGAGGGAAAAGACCCATCCACGGTACAATCGATGGATTCTATTTCTCGATCCATCTCTCTGAGAGTCTGAATCCATCCATCTATCTGCCCATGCTTCCCTTCGGCCCTGGGTAACCTTTTCTCATCATTTAATTTTATTTCTTCTTTCTTTTCTTTTCTTTTTTTTTGTTGTTGTTTTTGTGTTTCTTTATTTTCTATTTTCTAGTCTCTTCCTTTCTCTTTCAATGTTCTCTTTCCGGCTCTCTCTCTTTTGATTTTCTTCCCCTTTTCTCTGTTTCCCACCCCATTTCATCCCCCAATGTTATACTTTTATGGCGGCCGTTGGGAACGTTTTTCCAAAACCATGGTACACCTTCAATAATCCCTTGTTAGTTCACTGGTGATACCAGGAATGACGGGGGGCTGAATTCTCCGCCAAGTATGCTCACATGGTAGCTAGATAGATCGAGCTTGGCCGTTACATGTTACCACTCACACCACTTGGCCCGAAACCGCCCTGTCACCAACACCCGGCACGAAATGCTTTGTGGAATGTTTGTCCTTGGCTGTTGATGTAGGGCGCGGACAATATGGTTCGCGTAGGTTTGGAAGTATGTGTATCTTATAGTCGCCAAGATAGATTTCTCTTTTTCTTGTACAGATGCTCCAAGGGGGGAAAGGAAAAAGAAAAGAAAAAAAAGAGAAGAAAGAGAAACAAAAAACCACAAAAGAATACAATCAAATTACCAAAGGGAGGGGCATGGATAAAAATGGTAAAAGAAGCAGGCGCTAAAAGATCCGCCTAATAACAGTGGGTTCAGCGTCTATGCTGGAAAGGGAAACAGAATGACCAGCATGTGGTGTGGCAGGGCCTTGGAAAGTATGTTAGTTGGTGCGTTGAGTCGGTATGGCCAATACATATGCGAGCATGGTACACTGCCAGGACCGTGTGCATTCCATCAAGATGATTGCTTCCGTGCATCTAGGACAAATTAAGATCGAGCCGGGCCCGACTACTCGGTAGTGTTCCTACTCTTATGAGCATGATGAAGATGAAGGTGGTGGTGGTAATGATGATGGTGATAATGATGGTGATCATAAGGTGTAGCCTAAGGCTGACTGTCTTCGGCTCACCCACAGCTGAGCCTCCAAAGTGTAAGTATATATAACAAAGTGGTTTCTAAGGTATCCATGATCTATCTAGTCCATCTCGTTTACTACAAAACAAAAAAAACAAAAAAAAAAAGAACTCTCCGGGTCCCATAAAGACTAGAGCAGCCCCTGTACCATGGTTGATAGAGGGGCCTTACTCTGGGGAACAACCAATGAATTCTGGAAGCTCCTCCTTTAGTCATGGCCGGCCCCGACACATCCTCACCCCATTATCCATCATGGATCGTTCTTCTCGGTTCGGAGTCGATTCTGGTTAGTGACTGACTGAGTGCTAGATATCGACGTACTATGAAAGCACTCTACATACATACATACATACATACATACATACATACATACATACACAACTAACCATAAGTTACTGTTACTAAGTACTCCATACCTTACATACCAGCATCATAGTACAGCTACTTTGTTATAGTACTCTTCGTCTTACTTGCTGTGTGGATTGATACATATCTATCTAAGCCTCTCTCCTGCAACGGCTATCCAGCAGAATAAAACAAACGAATAATTCATCGTATGTCGCCCTAATATCTGAAATCATTCTAGCGATTCTCAGGCTTTTCACTGCAACCGCGCGCACTCCCTCCCTCCCCCCGCCTTCGCGCCCGTGGGCCCAACGGGAATGACAAGACAGCGGCTGTAACAACCTTAAAGCCAGGGTTGTTGCTTGCTTCGGCCTTTTCCCTTTCATCCTCATCTCCATCGTCAACTCTTTTCCTGTTCTGATCTGAGCTGATCGGATCTGTTGTGTTGTGTTGTGTTGCGTTTTGTTTCCTTTTCCTTTGCCGTTTCCACACTCCTCTCTTTGCTCTTTACTACTTCTTGACCCCTGTTCTTCCGTCTCTTGAATATTCTTGAGCTTCTCCTCCTTTCCCTTTCCCTCCCCCCAGCTCGTTACAATTGATCTCGCTCGGGACAGTTTGGTCCTTTAGATCCCACAGATAGTGGCTTCGGACGGACAGAGATTAGTGACGGTCCTCGAAATTCATACCATACCAAAGGGCCCCGTGACCGCCATTCTCATTCTCATTCTCATTGTTCTTCGATTGCCCATCGTCCTCCTCGCCCTCGTCCTCGTCCTCTTCAGGTTGTGGTGTTCCTCGACGGATCTTCACCCAAACTACGCGGGGACTCCATCAGAGACATCATTTTCCTCTTTGGTCTCGTTCTGTCGGTCCAGATCAAATAGAATCGATTGCAAATCGATTGATCTCCGCATGTGCGTGCGTGCCTGCTGTGGGACTGGATGTTGGAGATTCTGCTAGCCTTCTGTCATTTTCCCTAGTCAAATTTTCCTTTACATTTCCTGCCTTGCACAATTTCCTCACCCTTTCCAATCTTTTGTTATTCATTTCGGTCAACGAACGGCCTACCGCCCGCTCTGCCCCTCTTTGGTGGATCTGTATACTCTGAGATCAATTTTTACCTGCTTTGATCTTCCTTATGACTACTCTATGTACACTCTGACCGTCGAACTATATTTTCTACTTCCAGTCCACATACATCTGGTGGGTTAACATCAGCTGTTCTTGGCCGTTGCTGCCCCTAACCAGGATTCTCTGCGTGCAACTCACTCGTACGCCGTCTGCACCAATTGAGAGAAGCCGCCTTCTGACGATCTTCTTTCTCCTGGCCTCTACAGCCTATTCGGTCTACCTGAATAGTCGGGAACGAACAGGCTGTATACCATTCGACCACTATGGCATCGCCTACTCGCAACTATTATACTTCTCCAGCAACGGACCCCGCTGAGATAGCTCGCTCCAGGCAAAATTCAGATGTGATGGAGATTTACGGCATCACAGACCGCGAAAATCTAGAGCATAGTGCCGCCGATAGTGATGCCGCCAACCGCAATGGCTCTCCGAGCATGAGTAGTACTTTCAGCAAGTAACGCTCCCCATTCCTTCTTCCAATCTGATTGAAAATCTGCCACAATTAAGTGACTAATCTCCGAGCACGGTCATTCCGTGGCCCTCTGTGTCTAGGCTCTCACAATATTACCCCCCTTATGAAGAAAATGGCAGGATGTATCATGGTTTCCGGAAAGGAGTCTACATGTTACCATGCGATGAGCAGGAGCAGGACCGCCTCGACATCTTCCACAAGTTGTTCACGGAAGCGCGAAAGTCGGACGGTCTGATTTACGCCCCGCACCCTCCGAATGGACGGTTTTTAGACCTGGGCTGCGGAACGGGTATCTGGGCCATTGATGTGGCACATAAGTATCCAAAGGCCCATGTGGTTGGAGTTGACCTTGCGCAAATACAGCCCGACAATCACCCTGAAAACTGTCATTTCTTTGCACCATTCGATTTTGAGGGTCCCTGGGCCATGGGTGAGGATTCGTGGGACCTAATTCATCTGCAAATGGGCTGTGGCAGCGTTGTGGGCTGGTCAAACCTCTATCAGAAGATCTTTGCCCACCTTGCACCGGGCGCTTGGTTCGAGCAGGTGGAGATCGATTTTGAACCACGCTGCAACAACCGTCCTTTGGAGAAATTGGCTATGTGGCACTGGTATCAATACCTGAAGCAAGCAACACAGGATACAATGCGACCAATCGCACACAATTCTCATGAGACGATCAAGCAACTCGAGGAAGCCGGTTTTACGCAAATCAACCATCAAATAGTGGGCCTACCGCTAAACCCTTGGATCCCTGATAAGCACGAGAGCAAGGTCGCCCGGTGGTACAACCTGGCTATCTCGGAGAGTATTGAGTCTCTCAGTCTGGCACCGTTCAGCCGTGTCTTTCAATGGCCGGTGGACAAGATCAGGCGCATCTCCGAGGAGGTGAAATCCGAAGCCTTTAACCCAGACATCCATGCTTGGAACCTCTTACATATCTATCAAGCGCGAAAGCCCCTCCCCAATTGACATTGCCGTGTTGATGGCCAATGCAGGACTGGCTCAAATACGTACGCCGATCTTGAATCTTGCGTGCGGTTCTCGACATGGACGGCGGTGTATGACACCGCCCACGGCATCTCTGTTCTCTTCTCCTTTGCGGGGTATTGTAGTAGAGTCATGTATTGACCCGTCCTTTCCCAGCATCTCCCGGCTTGTGTGGGCATGCATCTCTACAGCGCAATTGGGGTGGTCGACTTGACAGCACCAGACTGTCTCTCAGCATCGCAATGAAGTTCGTGAGAGGCTCATCAATACAGTATTTCAATTGCGCCCCGTGTTGGTTCCTGTTCAATTGCCAACGGAACGGAATGCATCCCTAGGATCAATGCACAATGCAAGGGAGATCTATCCTACCTGCATTTCCGGCTCGCAGAGGCGGTGCAACACATCAAATCCTTTAGCAGCATACCTGCCGAGAGTCTTTCCGTGACATCATTCAATAGATGCCGCTGCAGCCCGGAATCTGAGACAAGGAAAGGCCAAAGGCCTGATTGAATGTCTCGCATCCATTATGGATGCTAGTGTGATCCGAGTTCTATTGGTCATGCCCGTGGCCGATTCGAGGGTCCGAGCGTCTGTAGAATATTCACGGAATAGTTTACCGACACCCACTGGTCCAAGCATTGAAGGCAATACTTCGATTTTGATTACGGGAGCCCCTTGACAAAGCTAGGAGCCGCGACCATGCAGAGCACTTTCTGAATCATGCTCTTGACAATTAAGGAAAATAGGCATCCAAGGGAACGATAAACCATTTCTCTGTGAGGAGCTTATCAAGTCTTCTGTCTTTCAACCCAGAAACTCCCCTCAATCAACTCCGTAAGTATACCGAGTGCCAGATCCTTGCTTTTTCGCCAAACGCCCAGCGATCTCCAAAGAAAAGCCTAGCTGACATGCTATGATATAGTAAAGCACAAACAAAAGTGACCCACGAATCCATGGGATGGTATGCGACACAAGGGAAGAGGAGCGCAAGGTGGGATGGTCAGCGCCGCCGGCCTTTTTGACCCCGTGCTGTACCATTTTTACCGCTTGCAGTGCTTTCCTTTTCTCCCTCACTGTTCGCGTTCATCCATTCTCGACCTGCACCCGGACTGCGTCGCCTCATGGTGCCTGGGCCGACAGCTACGATCTCTTCTTCGCTTTCGCTATCGGAGATGTCGAGCAGGACAGGCATCCGAAACGATGTGATTTCCTCCTCGTCAGTGCCGGTTTTAATAAGCTCAATGGTGAGCACATCGGGAACTTCGTCTTCCTGATCGAGACGACGTTGGTGGATTTCTTCTGCTGGGTGAATGTCGAACTCGTCTTCGCGTTCGACGTATTCCACATTCTCTTCGACCTCACCAAAATCAGGCGCCAGCGCTGACCATTTCTGGGGAGTCACTATTGACCAGGTATATATGCAACCGGATTCCAGACCACAAGCTACAACCATCGGGCGACCAGGATGCCACTCCACCACTCCCAGCTCCTCCCGGGGACCCTCCAGGATCTTGACCAAAGACCCGTGACTCCGTTCCCATACGTAGATGTCGGGGTTCATGAATGTGGATGCCGTCACAAATTCACCGGTCGAGGAAAAAGTGACGTGGTTCCAGCTCAATCGATTGACTACATCCTGGAACTTGTGTTCCACCTGGAGCTTGATGTTGCTGGGCTCTAAATCAATACCGAGCTGCGAGAGGTCCGGCATGAGAATCGTGCGTATGACGCGATCGGAGCTGTTCACCAACAGGTCCCTGCCATTGCTTGCTAGACGAAGTAGAATCACCACTCCATTGCACAGACGAGTAGAATGGATAGTGGTGCACGTCTGGGTCTCTATGATGTTGATCCAGCCCTTCGAGGTGCCTGCTATTATATGGTTTCCTAGGGCGGTGAAGATGGTCACACAGGTCGAGTGCTTCGCATCTTGTGCAGCTTGTTTAGCAGCAGCCGCGGCGTCGAGCTCCTCGCCTTTAGCGGGAGGTGGACGGAAAGGCGCAGAAGGGAGAATGCGCTTGACAGGTTTGGAGGAGGAGACATCGACAAGAACGGGCTGATCCTCGAACAGAGAGGCGACAAAGAGCAAACTGCATGAACAGGGGTATTAGTCAACAATGCGATAAAGATTGACCGAGGAGACTCGTACTGGTTATAAGGATGAAGTTCGGCGATATATACAGGCGCCTCGAAGCGAACGGTGCGAACTCGGGAACCATCTTTCAGATCCCACAAGATACATTTCCAGTCCTGAGAGGAGCTTAAAAGATATCTGCCGTCTCTCGACCAACTAAATACCCCCAATCAAATTAGTTCATTTTGTCCAAACCGCGCAGACGAGAAAAGTTCCGTACCTCAGCGATTGGATCTGTCTGGTATGACCGCGTAGCTTGCGTGCTACCCCATTGGTTTCCACGTCAAAAATCACCACCGTACCGTCCACCTAAGGCCGAAGATTACTATAATGGTTCGAAAGAAACACGCGACTTGCGGTATGTTTGTGATGAAGACCAACCCGACCGGACGCCAAATAATCTCCCTTGCGGTTAAATCGCAGACACGTAGCATGGCCGCTTCCTGTAAAAGTCAGCGCTAGAATCGAGAAGTAATACCCAGGGCGAAATATACTAAGTTTTTCCGATAATGTGTCTGGATAGTCCTGGGCGAGGACAAAGGGATCAATCAGAGACAAATTCATAGCGTACGTAGTGTTTAACGACCGAGGCACGGCTCAGAGACCAATGATGGTATCTAGAGCGTCATGCAAGGGAAATATGAGAAGCGATCCCAGCCTGCAGAGAAAGGCCGGGAGAAGATTGCGAAAGGGACCATGCAGGGTTGCCAGTAGCAAGTTGCTAATTGTTATTCACCAAGCAAGCGGGGAGGAGAGGGGAGAGGAAGGGGAGCGACCGAGATCTTTTATATTCGTATTTCAAGTGGAAGAGGCAGCAAAACAGCAGAAAGATAGAAAGCGGGTGGCGGGCGGTGAGAAAGGGTCCTTTGAAGTGAGGGTGGATGACCCCACTTTTCTTTCACAGTAAGTAAGCTGGTTGGCTACCACCTTACTTCCTGGGTTTAGTGTGAATGAGTTATAAAGCCGGGTGAGTTAGCGCGACGAGGTGCGGCTCAGAAAACTCGTTGCCCCATTGCCGACTAACCTGACGTCCATCCATCTCCCTTCCATCACCTCGACACGCCCTCCCTCCATCATATCCCACCCCACGACCATCGCGTTTTGCATCGCGATATCACTTATACGGCACTGAGATATCGCCAAGCACGATCGCGTCTCTCTCCTCCTCGCCCTTTTTCGAGCCTTCGCAAAGTCGGTGGATCTAGGTCGCAGGCGCCCTCGTGGCAAGGGCTGCCAGAGGCCTCAGCCGGCCAGCTCGCTTTCTCCTCCTCTCCCCTCCCTCAACGTCCCTCTCATCATCGCCGTATTTCTGTCGAGAAAGGTTGCAAGCACAGCTTCCTTTACTTCTACGGCTTCGTCACCTCACGTCTCCGCGCGACTACAACGTCTCGAACCCCCGTTGACCGACTGACGCAACGCACCGCTTTTTAAAAGAACACCTCACCGCGACAACCGTCATCATGGCGAACGTTTACTTCCCATATTCCAAGGCGCCTTTGCGCACCATCAAGGAAATTCAGTTTGGTCTCTTCTCCCCGGAGGAGATCAAACGGATGAGCGTGGTTCATGTTGAATACCCGGAGACGATGGTTTGTTCTTCTCGGCGTTCCTTGAAAGCACGAAGCGGCCGCGGGTGGCGCTAACGCGGGAAACACTTCCCAACAGGATGAACAACGGCAACGTCCGCGCACAAAGGGCTTGAACGACCCCCGCCTCGGAACGATCGACCGACAATGGAACTGCGAGACTTGCGAGGAAGGTCAAAAAGAATGCCCCGGGCACTTCGGACACATCGAGCTGGCGACTCCCGTTTATCATATTGGTATGTTGACCGGCAAACATCACAAACCATATTAAAGGCTGCGAATACTAACTCTTCTCTTTTGCGTCTTTCAGGTTTCTTGACTAAAATCAAGAAGCTCCTTGAGACGGTCTGCCACAACTGTGGCAAGATCAAGGCCAATACGGTTAGTCATCCCTTTAGGGATGGCAAATCTACTACGGCGGTTTTGCTAACTTGAGACACCAGTCCGATTCTAAGTTTCTAGAAGCCCTGCGCATGAGGGACCCCAAGAAACGATTCGATGCCATCTGGCGCCTCTCCAAAGATGTGCTGATCTGCGAAGCCGACCCTCCTCCGGATGATGAGGATCCTTTCTCGAAAGAGAACTCCAAGCCTTCGCGGATGCATGGTGGATGTGGTAACGCGCAGCCTACCATTCGCAAGGAGGGTATTACGCTCGTCGGCACTTGGAAGCCCAACAAGATGATGGACGAGATGGATATGCAACAACCCGAGAAGAAGACCATTACCCCTCTAATGGCTTTGAATGTCTTTCGCAGCATCACCCACGAAGATACTCGCATCATGGGCTTGAGCAACGATTATGCTCGTCCTGAGTGGATGATTATAACAGTCCTCCCAGTCCCCCCTCCGCCAGTCCGTCCTAGTGTGGTTGTCGGCGGTAGCACCAGTGGCCAGCGTGGTGAGGATGACTTGACTTACAAGCTTGCTGAAATCGTTCGAGCGAACCAGAATGTTCAACGCTGTGAGCAAGAAGGTGCTCCCGAACACGTGGTGCGCGAATTCGAGTCTCTCTTGCAGTATCACGTCGCCACCTACATGGACAACGATATTGCGGGTCAGCCGAAGGCCATGCAGAAGTCCAACCGTCCAGTCAAGGCTATCCGCAGTCGTCTAAAGGGTAAAGAAGGTCGTCTTAGACAGAATTTGATGGGCAAGCGTGTCGACTTCTCTGCCCGTACCGTCATTACCGGTGATCCGAACCTGTCACTCGAAGAGGTCGGCGTGCCGAAGAGTATTGCAAAGACATTGACTTACCCGGAGGTCGTGACCCCATACAACATCGAGAAACTGCAGCAACTTGTGCAGAACGGTCCGAACGAGCACCCTGGAGCCAGGTATATCGTTAGAGACAATGGCGAACGCATTGATCTTCGCCATGCTCGGAGAGCGGGAGGTCAGCAGTTGTTGTATGGGTGGAAGGTGGAACGCCATCTTATGGATGGTGATGTGATTCTTTTCAACCGTCAGCCTTCTCTGCACAAGGAATCCATGATGGGTCACCGCGTTCGTGTCATGCCGTATTCGACTTTCCGCATGAACTTGTCTGTGACGTCCCCCTACAACGCTGATTTCGATGGTGATGAAATGAACTTGCACGTCCCTCAATCTGAGGAATCGCGGGCCGAGCTCAGCCAGCTCGCACTGGTGCCGATGAATATTGTTTCCCCCCAGCGAAACGGCCCACTTATGGGTATCGTGCAGGATACTCTTTGCGGTATTTATAAGATTTGCCGACGTGATGTCTTCCTGACGAAGGATCAGGTCATGAATCTGATGATGTGGGTGCCAGACTGGGATGGTGTTATTCCTCCCCCAGCTATCTTGAAACCCAGACCCCGGTGGACTGGAAAGCAGATGATTAGTATGGCCCTGCCTCCTGGCCTGAACCTCTTACGTGTGGACAAGGACAGCTCGCCATTGGCGGAGAAATTCTCTCCCTTGGCTGATGGTGGTCTCCTCATCCACGGAGGACAGTTGATGTATGGTATGTTTTCCAAGAAGACTGTCGGAGCAAGCGGTGGCGGTGTCATCCACACCATTTTCAACGAAAACGGGCCTTGGGCTGCTGTGGGTTTCTTTAACGGTGCTCAAAGAATTGTCAACTACTGGTTGCTACACAACGGTTTCAGTATCGGTATTGGTGACACCATTCCTGACGAGTTAACAATCCAGCGCATCGAGAACTGTGTGAAGAACCGCAAGAAGGAGGTTGAGGAAATCACTGCTAGCGCCACCGACAACACGCTCGAGCCTCTACCTGGTATGAACGTCCGTGAGACTTTTGAGAGCAAGGTCTCGCGTGCTCTGAACAATGCTCGTGATGAAGCTGGTAGCGAGACGGAGAAGAGTTTGAAGGATCTGAATAACGCCATCCAGATGGCTCGCTCCGGTTCCAAGGGTTCAACCATTAACATCTCTCAGATGACAGCTGTTGTGGGACAACAGTCCGTCGAGGGCAAGCGTATTCCCTTTGGTTTCAAGTATCGGACTTTGCCACATTTCACGAAGGATGACTATTCTCCCGAGTCTCGTGGTTTCGTCGAAAATTCCTACTTGCGTGGGTTGACCCCGACCGAGTTCTTCTTCCACGCTATGGCTGGTCGTGAGGGTTTGATCGATACTGCCGTCAAGACTGCTGAAACCGGTTACATCCAGCGTAAGCTGGTCAAGGCGCTTGAAGAGGTTATGGTCAAGTACGATGGTACTGTCCGTAACTCCCTGGGTGACATCATCCAGTTCATCTATGGAGAGGATGGTTTGGATGGTGCCCACATTGAGAACCAACGTGTCGATGTTATCAGGTGCTCGGACGACAAGTTCCGCGATCGCTTCCGCGTGGATCTCATGGATCCTGAGCGGAGCCTGGGACCGGAGGTCTTGGAACAAGCCAATGAGATTGCGGGTGATGTTGAAGTCCAGAGACATCTGGATGAAGAATGGGAACAGCTTCTCAAGGATCGTGCATTCTTGCGCACCGTGGCCAAGGAAGACGATGAGATGATGCAACTTCCGATCAACGTGCTACGTATTCTCGAGACGGCTAGATCCACCTTCAAGATCCGTGATGGGGCCATCAGTGACCTGCACCCCGCGGAAGTCATTCCCCAGGTTCGCGCTCTTCTGGATCGCCTGCTGGTTGTGCGTGGTGACGATGTTATCTCGCGCGAGGCTCAAGAGAGTGCGACGATGCTCTTCAAGGCTCAGCTTCGCAGCCGTCTTGCATTCAGACGACTGGTCACTGAGTACTCCCTGAACAAACTTGCGTTCCAGCATGTCATTGGAGCTATCGAGATGAGATTCGCTAAGGCTGGTGCTAATCCTGGCGAGATGGTTGGTGTGCTTGCGGCTCAGTCTATTGGTGAGCCTGCTACGCAGATGACTTTGAACACTTTCCATTTTGCTGGTGTTTCGTCCAAGAACGTCACCCTCGGTGTCCCCCGTCTAAAGGAAATTTTGAACGTTGCTACCAACATTAAGACGCCTTCCATGACGGTCTACCAGGAAGCCGGAAACACGTTCAACAAGGAGAGTGCGAAGCAGCTTCGTAGTGCTGTCGAGCATACCAGCTTGCGATCCGTCACCGAGGCTACCGAGATCTACTATGACCCAGACATTCAAACCACTGTCATCGAAAACGATCGGGATATGGTGGAGTCTTACTTCATCATTCCCGAGGATGTCACGGATGACATGTCCCGTCAGTCGAAGTGGTTGCTTCGTATCATCCTTAGTCGCCCTAAGCTTCTCGATAAGGGGCTTACTGTTCAGGACGTTGCCTCCAAGATCAAGGCCGCTTATCCCAAGGATATCGCTGTTCTGTTTAGTGATAACAACGCAGACGAGCAGGTTATCCGTATCCGTCAGATCCAGGATTATAAGGAAGACGAGGAAGATGACGACATCGAATACGATGTCACGCTCAAGAAACTTGAGCAGCATCTTCTGGACACCCTGACCCTCCGTGGTGTTCCTGGAGTGGAGCGAGCGTTCATTAATGAGAAGAGCAAGGTTCGCGTCCTGGAAGACGGTTCGCTCTTTGCTAGCAAGTCCGACCCGCTCTGTAAAGAATGGGTTCTCGAAACCAGCGGTTCATCACTTGGTGAGGTTCTGGCAATCCCTGGTGTCGACGCCTCTCGCACGTATTCCAACCAGTTCATTGAGGTCTTCGAGGTGTTTGGTATCGAGGCCGCTCGTACTGCTGTGCTTCGTGAGTTGACCCAGGTGCTGGCGTTCGACGGTTCTTATGTCAACCACCGTCACTTGGCGCTGCTGGTTGATGTTATGACTGTTCGTGGTTATCTGACTCCGGTCACCCGTCACGGTATTAACCGCGCTGACAATGGTGCTCTGATGCGTTGTTCGTTCGAAGAGACTGTGGAAATTCTGTTGGAGGCTGCCGCTTTCGGTGAGCTCGATGACTGCCGTGGTGTGTCGGAGAACTTGATCTTGGGACAGATGGCACCTGCTGGTACTGGAGAGTTCGACATCTACCTTGACCAGAACCTTCTCAACACCGTGGTGTCAGACAATGCCCGCCACGGCGTGATGGGAGCCGTTGGTGCCAAGGATGCGATCTTCTCGGATGGCGCTGCTACGCAGTATGATACTGGTTCGCCCATGCAGGCCAGTGCCTACATTGGCTCGCCCGATCCAGAATCGAACTTCTCCCCAATTCGTCAGGCAGGCGCCGAAACCCCGGGCGGTTTCACTGAATACCAGCCCAGTGGCGGCTTTGGAGGTGGTTTCAGCCCGGCGGCCACGAGTCCAGCTGGCTACTCCCCCAGCAGTCCGTTCAGCGCGAACCCGACTTCACCTGGATACTCTCCTACCTCGAGCTACTCGCCTACCTCTCCAGGTATGGCTATGACCAGCCCCCGCTTCATGACATCTCCTGGATTCTCCCCGGCCAGTCCTTCATTCGCCCCGACCTCGCCGGCCTACTCTCCTACGTCGCCGGCGTACGGGCAAGCCTCTCCTACGTCGCCTTCTTATTCGCCGACCTCGCCTGGGTTCTCACCGACGTCCCCGAACTACAGTCCTACGTCTCCCAGCTTCAGTCCAGCGTCGCCGGCGTTCAGCCCTACCTCTCCAAGCTACAGCCCGACCAGTCCTGCCGTTGGTGGTGCCCGACACCTGTCACCTACCTCTCCCACCTCTCCCAAGTACACCCCAACATCGCCTGGATGGTCTCCTACGAGTCCTCAGACATACTCTCCAACGTCTCCCAACTTTGCCGGCTCGCCGACGTCTCCTGGTGGACCTACTTCCCCAGGCTACAGCCCGACGTCGCCGGCTTTCAGCCCTACGTAAGTGCCTCCCCCCTCAGACAGGGTACAACAAGGTACTAATCTGCAATGCAGGTCTCCACGCCAGTAAAGTTCGAGCTTTCGTGACGTGTCTCCTTACGACTTTCGCTGTATCATTGTATTATCACCTCATCCTGACAAGTTGGAAAGGGAGAAAAGAAACGAAAAAAAACATCTTGCATTGTATGTTGCGGAATTGGTTGGTTATATCATGCCGAAATTTGGGCGTTTGCAGCCTGCTTCTCTTTCCCATTCCCATTCTGAATGTATGTTCCTTTTCTTCTTTTTCTACACCAGCCTGCAGGTTTATTACCCTTATTCAATACTAGTTTTCCTACAACCAAGCCAGCCTGCTAAAATTGCGAATGGGTTTTGTGGGTCTGGTTTCATGCTTCCTTTTTTTGTTTCCCTTTTTTGTGTGCATTTGAAATACCAAGCGTTTAGACCAGACTATGCTCATGCATCATGACTTGATCATGAGGAATGAGTGGGTTTACAAAGAAATGTCTCTTTCGCGTGAAATTGCATGGAGGATGTTTCTTTCGTTGCTTTCAATTGCTGCGTGTATTTGCTGCTCTTACTGCGATCAATGGCCCGGCTCTGCCCTGTACACGGACATATGAATGCAGACGGGGGCCATTGATTTGGGAGAGCTTATGACCTAATAAAAAAGACCCAAAAAATGTGAAAAAAAATCCCATTGAGCCGAAGACGAAGATAAACTGAAGTAGAATGTAGTACAGGTAGATGAGATCAGTGGATATGTTGGAGATGTGGTGATAATACTATAAATAGTGGTAGTAAGAGTACAATACTTCGGACCGTCAGTGCTGTCGGGGAAACGCCAGGTGGCCGCTTTTCCTTTCCGCCTTGCCGCGCGCCGGAGATAGCGTTGAGGAGAACCCATCTATCATCATCATCATCACTGGTTGCCGGTTACCCACCAGGAAGTGAGCTCAGAGTCGCCATGCGCCTCTCATTGCTCACCTCTATTAGAACCTCCCTGACAACATGAAGAACCGCCGGTTGTGGCACATTCTGCCACTGGCGCTACGTGAGTACTTCTGCTGCTCTCCAACACCTCCGCGGCGGAGCTGGTCCCGAGCTTGACAATGACGCGATAGCCATAGCCACTGACTGACTCCTGTTGACTTCCATATTTAGTGCTGCTGCTGCAAGCCTTCCTAGTTGAATGTTATGATCAAACCGATGATTTATCCTCCACGATAGATGCTGTACATGAATCCCAGACGCCATTCGTCCAGTCCTCAAGCCGGTCTGAGGACGCTCAACTCCCACTGGGCCAAGGTGAGATTGATCTGTCATCTTATCCTCATCATCACTGTCTACTGCAACCATCACCCGTGTCTGACCACACTGCTTTGGTGTAAGCAGAACGCGTCGAACATGCCCTTCGAATCCTCCGAGACCCCAGACTCTCCGTCGTCGCCACGGACACGAAACCCTCCGGTCTGGTGGGGTACGCCTGGTACTATGCCCAGGAAGCTTTCCGGATCCTCTTCATGAACGCACCGAGGTCATCGTCGGACGGTTACCGCGCTCCCAAGCAAAAAATCCACCCAGATGTCGCTAAAGCCGTGCACGAGCTCACGATCGCCGCGGAGGAGGCGCACAACCCGGATGCAATGTTCCTCCTCGCGGAGATGAACTTCTACGGCAACTTCACGCACTCGCGCGATTTCCAACGGGCCTTCCACTGGTACCAGGCACTGGCGTCTGCCACGGGCAACAGCACCGCCCAGTATATGCTGGGGTTCATGTACGGCACGGGCGTGGGCGGCGCCGTCGAGCGCGACCAGGCCAAGTCGCTAATGTACCATACGTTTGCGGCGGAGGCTGGCAACACCCGGTCGGAGATGACGCTGGCGTATCGCCACCATCAGGGCGTCGGAACCCCGCGCGACTGCGACCAGGCGACCTATTACTACAAGCAGGTGGCCGACAAGGCGATCGCGTATCTCCGGTCCGGCCCGCCGGGCGGCCAGAGTATGATCCGTGAGTCGTACCGGTGGGCGGATGAGGAAGGTGGCGTCTACGGAGAGGGCGCCAGTGTGTCGACGGCGGGGCTGCGAGATTCGGCGCACTCGGGAGCCGACGCGAATTTGGAGGATGTCCTTGAGTATCTGGATCTGATGTCGCGCAAGGGCGAGCTGAAGGCCACGTTCAGTCTGGGCAAGATGTACTACGAGGGCGGGCGGGGCTTGCCGCGCAATTTCCGACGGGCGATGCGGTATTTCAAGCAGGTCACTCGGCGGTATTGGAATCAAGATGGCTCCGTGAACCCAAATCACCCCCAGGGAATCGAGAAGTTGGCGGCGAAGGCGGCGGGTCATGTTGGACTGATGTACCTGCGCGGGGAAGGCGTGGAGCAGAATTTCGCGACGGCGTCCAGCTGGTTCCGGCGGGGGCTGGCCAACGGCGACGCGCTATGCCAGCATGAACTTGGCTTGATGTACCTGCATGGGTATGGCGTGACGCCGGACGCTTTCCGGGCGGCCTCGTACTTCCGGTCGGCGGCGGACCAGGACTTTCCGGCGGCCGAGACAAGACTGGGCGCCCTCTTCTTGGACCAAGGGGACGTGCCGACCGCCACTAAGTACTTTGAACTGGCGGCCCGATGGGGTTCGATGGAGGCGTTCTATTATCTCGCCGAACTGTCCAACAACGGGGTCGGCCGCAAGCGGCACTGCGCGATGGCGGCCTCGTATTACAAGATGGTGGCGGAGCGAGCCGAGGCCATCCATTCTTCGTTCGAGGAGGCCAACACGGCGTATGAGAACGGGGACAAGGAGCGGGCGCTTATCCCCGCGATGATGGCGGCGGAGCAGGGCTACGAGCACGCGCAGTCGAATGTGGCGTTCCTCCTGGATGAGCAGCGCTCGCTGGTCTCGCTGGATTCGATCCTCCCAGGAGCAGCCAAGAAGAGTCGACCGGCTCTACTCCGCAACGCCGCGCTGGCTCTAATCTACTGGACGCGGTCGGCCAAGCAAGCGAACATTGACTCCCTGATCAAGATGGGCGACTACTATCTTAGTGGGACGGGCATCGCGGCGGACGCCGAGAAGGCCTCGACCTGCTACCACACCGCCGCGGAAGCACACTACAGCGCTCAAGCGTACTGGAATTTGGGGTGGATGCACGAGAACGGTGTGGCGGTCGACCAGGACTTCCACATGGCGAAGCGGTACTACGATCTGGCGTTGGAGACCAGCCCGGAGGCTTACTTGCCGGTGAAGCTGAGTTTGTTGAAGTTGCGGATGCGGGGTTATTGGAACTGGCTTACGAATGGGGATGTCAATCCCATCCAAGAAGAAGAGGGTACGTTTTGATCTCACCACTTGACCCGATAGGAAAATCCGCTCGATGTAGTTGACACGAACCTCAAATGCAGCAGCCAAGCCCCACCGCACCTTCAAGGAGTGGATCGCCGCGTTCATTGAAAATGACGAAGAAGAGGAAGCCAATTACCGAGCTCAGTTGTACAAAAGGGGTGAGGACGAGGAGGACGATCTGATGTCGGCGGGGCGTGGGTTGGATGAGCGCCATAACCACGAGGACGGCTACTATGATGATCTGGACCTGGATATCGATGAGAGCGTGCTGGAGGGACTGATCATTGTTGGGTTGGCGGCGACCTTGTTGATACTGGTGTATATGCGACAACAACGGAATCGCCAGAGACAAGATGGTGGGAATCTGGCTGTGGCTGGTGGCGGCAATGGCAATGGCAATGGCAATGGGATCGGAAATGGCAACGGGGTTGGCAATGGCAATGGCTTCGGGGATCGGGGGTTCTTCCCTCGGCCTGGCGATCCAGAGTTCGCGCAATGGGCGGCGGGGGGAGTAGGACATTAGAATAGTTGGTGATGAAGAAATTGTAGTTGTGTTGTTTGTGAGTTTGTCTTCTAGATCTTCGACCGGTTGGAGCATGTGACCCTCTCTGGCTTATCGATAAGCACAGCAGCTTTATCGCTCTGTCTGTTCCTCTCATCCTTGATCTCCTACTGAACTTTATGATTGAGCTTGTCGATGCTCAGACATCGCAATTCTTCTCCTACGCCTCTCTGATGACCTGAGCCTAGAGCCTATAACGGACTACACTTCATTCTAGTCTAATACATAGACGAAGATGAGCAACACAAACAAACGTCGTCGTCTCAACCCCTCACCGTCCTCCACCTTGACCAAGCCATTCAAGTCCCCTCTCCGCAGACCTGCCCCTGCTACAGAAAGTCTACATGGGGCGGCAACCGGTAGTCCGGGACTGAACACTGTAACTTCGGCGAAGAGCATGTTTATCCCCCCCCGTGTGTTTGTGGTTCAATGCATGCGAGCTAACGGCATGGTTCGGCTATAGATGCAGGTACAGCTGCAGGTACAGCTGCAGGTATGTACAGGACACACCGGCTACAGCATCAAGCCACCCATAACCCCACAGAACAGTACTGATTACTCCGATCCCGGGACCTGTTGCAGCTACAGCTATCACAACCCCAACTCCAACCTCGACTTCAACTCCATACCTCCAAAACCAGGCACGTACCCTGCCTGCTCTCGCGAACCCGCCGTGATCAGGAACTGACCCATCAAACTCCCCCAGCTACAACAACAATCCGGGGCCAGCCAAAGCAACAGCACAAACCCCACCCCCGCTAAATCGCCAACTCGACCACTCCCACGCCCACGCACCCTTACCAACCCCCGCGCCCCCAGAACACCCCAGAAACCCACCTCCCTCCCCGTCCCCTCCTCCCCCACAACAACCGAGCTCTCCTCACTAACAACCCAGAAAGCCACCCTCCTCGCGCACCTCCACGCCCTGAAAGCCGAGTACGACACACTCCAACAGGCCCGCCGCATCGAAACCCAAAACAAAACCGTTGAGCTGGAGCGGTTGATCCAGAAGTGGAAGGGGGTCAGCCAGCGCGCCGCAGAGGAGGTGTTTCTGGGGGCTAGGGAGCGGGTGAATCGGATGGGGGGGTTGCAGGCCTTGAAGTCTGGGAATGGGTCCGGGGCGGGGTCGGGGTCTTGGGGATGGGATTGTGAGAA